CAGGGTATGGGCCAGAACAACATTCCATTTGGCGATTCACGATTTCACCAGGGGATTCAACGGCCTAACAATCCTGCTTTCAACGCCATGCTCGCCAATATGACCCCAGAACAAAGACAAGCGGTCAACGGTCTTCCCCCGGAAAAGCTTAACGAAGTCATGATTCGATGGCAAAATCAGCGTCGGGAACAGATGGCAAATATGAATGCGAATCCGATGATGCAGCAACAAATGGCCAATCGACCTCCGAATCAGTTCAACCAGAACGGGAACATGGCCCCTGGTCTTCAGAACATGCAGCAAATGAATGCTCCTGGTGCAGGCAACCAACAACAATCAATGCCATTAAACCGCATGCCAGCGCAAAACGGCCAGCTTCAATTCTTGATGGACTCGATGGATTTGCCTCCCACGATATTGAATCAAATCCAGGGGCTGCCTGCAGAAGTCAAGAAATGGAGAGATTTGAAGGCTTGGATCAACCAAAATAATACGCTTCAACCGAGTATTCGTGGCCAACTGGCTGCTTTCCAACAGAAGCAATTCCAAGTGCTCATGCACAGGCGGGCTGCCAATGCGCCTCCGCAGCCTGGACAGGCCCTTAACATGAATCCCGCGATGTCAATGCCAATGGCTAATCAACAGCCCGGAATGCAACGACAGATGGCCGGTATGCCACCACAATTGCTTCAAGTATCTCCTCAGGAGTTGATGCATATCCGAAGCTCGAAACCTGCTTTGGCTGGCGTACCTGATGACCAGCTCCGAGGAATGATTCTCGCGATGAAGAAGAATAGTTGGACTCAACAGCAGACCCAGCAACAGCTAAGGCTCCAGCAGATGCAGGCCCAGAACCAGCAGATGCAAAATGCCACAGCAAACAATATGGCTGGCATCCAGGGCCCTCAAAACGCCATGCAGATACAGCAAGCCCAGCCTAATCTCACTCCTCAACAAACCCAGGCGCAGACGATGCCTAACGCCATGAGCCAGACTGCCTCGATGCAAGCGGCCAATCCGAAGCAGCAACCAAACGCAAACCAGGCACGCAATAACCAATCCCAGCCTGCGAAAAATCTTAAACGCTCTAATCCTGATGATGGCGCCGATACTGTCAACATGAAAGCTTCCTTGCCTGCTGCACGACAGCCACCGGCGCCGACGATGACAACAACAACAACAGCAACAACATCGCAACCAAATCAGCCACCAGGACAAAGGCCAGGGACCAAATTCACGCCGCAACTTACAGCTCAACAAGAGGCACAACTAAATCCTGAACAAAGAGCTAGGTATGAACAGCTTTTAAGGATGCAAAGCAAGGCGCCCTCAGAATCTCTGGTGCGCCTCAAGATGATTGGGCAAGAAGAGCAAAAGCAGTTTGCTCAAGAATCCACTCCGGACATCCCAATGAGCCCTGAAGAGTACGCAGAAACTGCAGCGAAGCTCAAACGAATTGTCGTGGACATGGGCAAGGTTGGCCGTGGACTCAGCAAGTGGTACTCCCTCACTCAAGATGACGCGCGCGCCAAGATGTTCTTTAGAACTGTAAGTGAACAGAAAATTACCATTGAGATTTTACTCAAACATGCTAACTTGACTATAGCGATTACGTCTCATCAAGCAACACGTGGACGGCGACAAGATGGAGAAAGTCAAGGATGCCTTTAGCATCCGCTCTTCCGAACTGGATCAGGCCCGCGCTATGCTTGAGAGTATGGCTAAAGATCTGGCTGCTAGTGTGGCCGGCGGCCGACACATCAAGCCTGGCGGTCAGGCACAGGCACAGGCACATTCGCAGCCGTTACCTCAGCAGCAAACGCAGCAAGCACAGCAAAAGAATCTAACGCAGCCGGCTCCTCTCAATGCCGCTAATCTAGAGAAGAACGCGCAAGCGATGAACAAATTGAGCCAGCAGAAGCAGGCCAACAAAGCAGGACAAGTGCCACCACCTGCACCGACAAGCGCTCAACCGCCCTTCCCATTCGGAGCAGCAACCTCGCCTGATGGTCATCCTACCTACATGAGTAAACCCAAAGAAATCAACCTGCAGCTACCGCCCTCCAGAAAGAAGCAGAAGCTCGCAAACTCTGGTCCCTCTTCCCAAGTGGCCACTCCCTCGCCGCAAATCTCAAAGAATGCGTCTCCCGATATCCAACGCCTGCAAGGCCCACCGAAGCCCGTACATCTCTGCACGGAGCCCGACTGCGACCAGGCTACTTTTGGATTTCCTACTAAACAAGCTCTCCAACATCATATCGATGAAGAGCATACTAAGCCCAGGGCAGACCCGGTCAAATTTGTGCAAGAGAATCTTGCCGAGGCACTGGGCCTAGAACCAGACGGCACCATCAAGAAGGAGCAGAAGCTTGCAGAGGGGGCACAAGCTATGAGTTTGTCTGCATCAAAACAGGGTCAATCCTCTGGAAACCTTGTCGGCACACCCATGTCCATGGACGGTACTGGCATGAAGCGATCGGCCAGCGTCGCGAGCAAGGCCCAAGATGTGAAAGCCGGCATCAAGTTGGATGCAACTACCAAGGCTGGCGATGGAAAGCAGATGAATGGCGCTGCAATGCTCGTCACTGCGACGGATCCATGGGCAAACTCGACTATTGACCCTCAGACACTACTCCAGAACTTGGGCTTTGAGAACGGCTTACCAAACATCATCAACGAGGCCAACATGTACAGGTCTTTCACGCCAAAGGATACACCAGAGTCTAGCAAGGACGGCGCTAGCGAGCCTAACAGCGATATCTCTGAAGGTGCCGCGCTTGACATTGACATGAACTGGGGTACTCTTGATAATGAGGCTCTAATGGATTTCACTAATGCCTGCATTAGCGGAGAGATGGATTCGACAGAAAATCTAAAAGCTGCGTTGGTTAACGTCGATCCAACCCTTCTTCTGGCCGGGTCGCGGGGCGTTCCGGACTGGGATACAATCCAAACCGATTTTGACAAACCATTCGAGATGGATCTCGGAAATGGTCTCTATTCTCTCGGTTTGTAAAGAAAAATCCTCTGGTTTTATCTGGTTTTTTTTATTTAAAACAGAATCCAAAATCTGTTCTTTTTAGCGAAAGCGAGTTTGGAGTTGGAGTAATGGTTGAGAGCATGCTGCTCAAATAGCTGCAAATAAGGCTCTCTTTCTTTCTTGTTTTCGGCTCCTGCTTTGCTCGCTTGTCTTTCTCGTACATGTTTCTCTATTTCGGTTGATTTACTTGTTTGGAGCGCAGGAAAGGACCCAGGATATATACCCAGCATTACGTCATATCTGATATAACAGTGGTTGTTTATTGGACAACGGAAGAAGGAGGGAGAAGCTGAGTCAAAAATGAAAACAAAACATATGGGATGAACTGTTGGAAGAAGAGATTTGGTTGGCGTTAAGGCAAAGAATGACAGCAATGGATGCTACTGCGCAGTCTTATTTTCATTTTTCTTCTTCACTGTCGATGTCATCATTTTACCATCTGCCTTTTTTATCACGGCCGTTTTCTCTTTTTTTTGTTCCTTTCGTCATCTTTCTTCACGCGATGAAGCCGAGGTGATATCAATTCTTGGGCGGGTTGTGTATTGATCCAGACGAACGGATTTGGGTCTAATTTGGAGTAAAATGGAAGCTTACAAGCACTGTACCTTATCTGTTACAACGTACATCCGTTTCAATGTTTTTTTTTTTTTAACGTAGCGCGGGTTTGGTATGCAGGGGCATCATCAGGATGGCCTGCAAGCAAAAGAAAAATGGCATCATAATATTCACATTTCTTTTTTCTGTACTTTGACGTCTATATAGAAAGAAAAAGCTGTTTCGTTATTACAAACTGAATGGCCCGACATGAGGTCGGGTTACGTAAGAATAGCAGTATCTCTAGATGTGATTTGCATGTGACGAGATCTAATGTCGATGGACTTGGGGATCAGATCAATGGAGCCCAGCCCTGGCCCGGTGTGTGTGGTTTGTTTTTTTTCTCCTCTTCCTTCTTTAGCGTGGAACACCTTGGGATGGGGTCCGCCCCGTCGAAGCAATAGAGCTCTCCACATTCTTCTACTCGTAGCCACAATTCTGCACTATTCCTGAATAAGGCTAGCAGAGAGACGCTCCGACGACACGGGTTTTTCGTTTTGACGGGAAGGAAAACGACGCGGCGTGCTTGATGCGAGCTAGGCTATATTGGGCAAGGTCTCGTAGGAAAGCAGCTCGGAAAGCTACTCAAGTATGGAGAACTTGGTGGGAAAAAAAGCTGAGGGCACGGAGCGTGTGGGAGAGAGAGCGTTCCTGCCTTTACAGCTTAGAGTGGGGAAGGTTTTCAGGGTCGGTCGCGTTGTGAGAGGCAGGAACGGAGGTTGAATAGCAGCACTGTAGGTACCTTGGCTTGTTAATGAGAGTCTTTGCAAAGCGGCTATGCGCGCCGGGGTGTCTTTATTATCCGGCTTTATTTACCTTTATTTTTCTCTTTTTCTTCTATTTAGTGTGATTTATTGTTACGCGCTTTTCCCCCTTTTCTCTTTTGCTATTCTGCTGTGATTGTGATCTTGATGAATCAAGCTACGGCTACGGAGTACCTAGCTCTTGTGTCTTTTGCCGCCAGACGACTTTACGAGGAATTTGCGACTCTTTTGGGAAATCCTTCAATCGCGCTTTGCATGTATATTTCACGTGTTTTATGCCAATTGCCTTATAAGCTACTAGTACTACTTGTATCCAAGTATCCCATATACACAGGTATATCGGACTGGTGCAGCTTCTTGTCGATTCAATTTACTACACACGCGACCTGCCCATCGCCACTAAACAACACAACACCCCACTACCACTCCTCCATCTGATATTCACCTTTGCGCGCGCGACTCTTTCTCCATCTTACTGCACATCTCTCTCATTGTCTTTTTACTTTTCCTTTCTTTTTCTTTTTTTTTTTTTTTTGGCTGTTTCTTCTTTCTTTGGTTCCAATTCCCCTTTTTATTTTGTCTTGAGTACATTTGGGAGAACAATGGAAGCTACTAGTTTGTCGCCTGTGAAGCGACGCGCCGTGCTTGGTGCAAAGGACGCGAACGCGGCTCTGGCAACGCCGAATACAAACAAAGTGGCGAGGATAGGAACGCCAATGCTTTCAACGCCTTCAACTCTCTTGGTGACCAGTCCATTGAGAGAAGTTTCGTCAGAAAAGGGAAAGAAGAGAACAGCAGAAGAGGGCGGCCAAGAGGTTGCGGATGAGAGTCCGGAGACCAAGAAGGCGTGTGTTGATGGGGTAAGTAGCTACGTTATTGCTCGCCATGGCTAATTTGACCTCGTTTACTAACATGTCCATATCTAGGCTGCGCGATCACGGTCGCCTAGCATTGAAACGAGCTCTCTCTTTGATACTTCTGCCGGGGACGCTTCCTGGGCCACTGCGCCAACAGAGCCAGACTCGGCCATGGCAACTGCAGACACACCACTATTCGCTACAAGACCCAGAGCAATGACAAGAGAGCAGGCAAGAGAGGTAAACTCTTTTCCATCTCTTCTCTCTTCTCTCATACTACCTCAAGCACAACAGCTAATATAGAGACTTGTAGAAAGCAGAGATTCTCCGATTGCGACTCGGCCTCGCAGGATACAAGCTGCGCACCGGCCAGACAACAATTCCCCTCTCCGAACTCCAGCGCAGACCCCTCCCTCCATCAACAATAACACGCAAACGAGCAAGCACCACTACCCACGCGAAACCGACGAATACACACAGCAGGGCCCAAAGCGCGGATTCAATCCCGCAGGTGCCCGCGCTTTCGCAGGAATCAACCACCACGTCGGTTGCGTCTGGCGCCATGACCTTGCCTGCTTCTCAGGAGAGCGTCATTGTAGAGACGAGGGGAAACACGCCTGACCGCGAAGAAGCCGGAAATGTTGAAAGGGACAAGGCGGTTATGCTTCCCATTGGCGAATTGGATTCTCCTTCCAAGTTCTTCCAGTCTAGCCCGGCGCCTGCACCGGTATCTTCGCTGAGGAGTACGTGTACAGTTGTGGCGTCAAATGATGTAGAAAGGTCATGACGCGTGTGATGTGAAAATATAGTTCTCTCGGTTTCAAATATTGGAAGAAAAATGGGGAGTTGGTTTCTTCCAACTTGATTTTCAAGATCAGGAACACTCGCATGTATTTGTTATAATAGGTAAAACACATCTTTTTAGATGGCGATCATGACGCAATTTCACACGAATAGCTTAGCGAAACTATGAAGAATAGAGATAGAGTTATCATGATGATCATTAACTCATTCATTCAGTACTATTGTGCCTGAATCATGTAACAGTCACACGAATAACTTGGTCGGAAAATATCTTTTGTATGTCCTTTCTCCATTGGTCTCGCTCCGAGTTTCGTTTCCCTTCGCCGTCCTACCAACGCCCTTATTTGACACTGTATCGTGCCACATGTAGTTTATCCTACTATTATATGCATATAACCCTAACTTGACAATCTCAAATCGCTTTCACGCCCATCCCACTAAAACTCCCCCTTTCCTCTCGACTTAATCGACCAAGATTTTGGGCTCGATCTCGCCGTAGCTCTCAAAGAACTGATCAAACAGCTTAATAGCACGCCCCACGTCGGCCGTTCCACCCGTCTCGCGGATGCTGTGCATGCTGAGCTGCGGGTTGCCCAAATCGAGCGTGCGCATGCCCAGCTTAGCAGCCAGACCGGGTCCGATGGTGCTGCCACACGGCGAGTCGTTGCGGACGACGAAGAGCTGCAGCGGGACGCCGGCCTTGCGGGCGCACTCCTGCAGCATGACGATGCCGGGAGAGTTGGTGGCGTAGCGCTGGTTGGCGTTGATCTTGACGACGGTGCCGCCGTTCATGGCGGGCTGGTGCGAGGACTCGTACTTGCCGGCGTAGTTGGGGTGGACGGCGTGGGCCATGTCGGCGGAGACGAGGAACGAGCGTGAGAGCGTCTGCTCAAAGGCCGTCGACTCCTCGCCCTCGTGGTGGACCTGCTCGTAGCTGCCGTCGCTGGCGGCGTCGCGGTTTCCGGGGAGCACGGACAGCCGGCGCAGCACCGAGGGCAGCAGGTTGGAGTGGGCGCCCTGGGCGGACTGCGAGCCGATCTCCTCGTGGTCGAAGCAGACGGTCATGCGGATGGTGGAGTCGTTGTCGAGGGCGTCGGCCTTGCTGACGGACTTGATGAGGCCCTCGACGGAGCAGTACGTCATGCCCAGGTTGTCGAGGCGCGGGGAGAAGATGAACTCGTCGTTGATGCCGCCAATGACGGACTTTTGCGTGTCGTAGAGGACGAGCTCAAAGTCGACGATGGAGGCAACGTCGGTGCCCAGCTCGTTGGCGACGACGTCGAGTACGGCGGGGTGGTGGCGCACAGTCATCTTCTCGAGGGGCTTGAAGTCCTCGTCCTCCTCCATGGCGTCGTCCTTGGCCGGCTCTTCGGGCTTGGCGCCCTTGTTGAGCTCGGCGGCGGCAAGGCCCGTGATGGGGAACAGCTCGACCTCGTTGTTGGGGTCAAAGTTGGACTGGCGGTGCAGGTGGATGGCCAGCGTGGGGATGCGCAGCAGCGGCTTGTCGACCTTGACCAGCTTCTGCACGACGCTGTCGCCGTCACGGACCAGCACGCGGCCGGCAAGACTCAGGTCGCGGTCGAACCATGAGTGCCAGATGCCGCCGCCGTACGTCTCGACGCCGACCTGCAGGTAGCCGACGTTGCTCTTGCGCGAGACGGGCTTGACGCGCAGGCAGGGCGAATCGGTGTGGGCGCCGACGATGGCGACGGGGTTGCCGGGGCGCCACTTGCGGCCGATGGCAAAGGCGAGGATGGACGAGCCGTTGCGGGTGAGGTAGTACTTGCCGCCGGGGCGGAGGCTTGAGGCCCAAGAGTCGCGTTCGCGGATGAGGCTGAAGCCGGCCTTTTCGAAGCGGGCAGCGGCGGACTGGACGGCGTGGTAGGCTGTTGGAGGCACTAATTAGCACAGCACATGGCTATACGCTTTACACGGGCGATGGTGAGGTCTTGGACGTACGAGTGGGAGACGCATTGACAAAGTCGACAAAGTCGAGGGCCTCTTGCGGGGGAGCCATGATGAAGGCGGTTGTGGAAAATGGCACAGTTGATGATGCTATGGAGCTTGGCTTGGTTCTGAGCAGAGAATGGAGTGCTATCCTCGACCGTCTCGCCGTCAAAGAGCAGATCATGCAGAAGACACAAGATGATAGACCGAGAAGGAGGAGGAGAGGAGAAAGAGAAGCGTCTACAGGGAGCTGCCAAATCAATCCAAGAGGTGCGGAGAAGAGGCAAAAATCCAGCCAGTTGTTGCGTCGGTCTCTCGCCAAGTGTGGAGGGGCAGCAGCTCTGGAGGGGTCCTTTGGGCAAAAGTTCCACGAGCGGCCGCTGGAGGCTTCGGGATGCGGCGCTGCGGGGCCGGGCCATGGCTGCCGAAGTGCCGGGTAGACGAATTACACGTATATTGACAGCACTGTGGCGAGACAAGAACACAAAGGGATAATGGAGGCGGTTGTATGACATAGAGTTTTAAGGGAAATAACCCAAAGAGCAATTGAAGTATCGATTCTGTGTACATACGCTTTTCCATACATCTCTAGGTATATACTCGAAACATATCCTATCCACTCTGAGGCTCTTGAGAGAGCTACACCCAAGTTGACATACTATTCTTCAAAGATGGAAGTATTCCTGCTTGCATTTCACCATCTCCCTTCTTCACTAGATCTGCTGGCCGACTAATAGCCCGTATTGATGCTATTTATAAACGATCAATAAATGTAACGTGAGCACATTGCATTGCCAACCGCTTATTTAGTCATCAGCTCAACTCGGCCTTGGCAGTTGAACTGCATTCCGAATGGTTATGATGGCTGAACAATTGGACCCAGAAAAGCCACGCTCGTCCACCAGGGATGGAGTTGGCATGAGGCACATTATCATAGCAGTTTTTGGCATAATGTATGTCTTACTTCAGTGTTTTTATCATTATTGGTTTTTAAACAAAGAAAAAAAACTAAAGAACAAAATTCTTTGCTTCGAACGGTATCATAAAAAAAATAAAATAAAAAAAAAGGCCATATTCCTCCCCCGCTTAGTATACACATGTTCCGTCTATTAGATTTCCAATTCAAGCCAGTAGTAAATTTCCCAAATAATGCAAAAGTTGTGACTCATAATATTTGATATTTCGCCTCGCCTCTCCGTGATTCAGAGCCTGAAAACGGTCTCTACTTTCGTCGCTCAATGGTGTCCATCACCACCGTCTCGCTGTCATTCTCCATCTTGACGCCTCCAGCCCTGTCTCGCTTCAATCCCAAGCCAGGGTGTCCGAAGCAGAGCATCGACGCGGCCAAAAACACAAAGACACCCTCCAGCACGATAAAGGGGGCCTCTTCCTTGATGAGCTTGCCGTCGTAGCCGTCCTGCAGCTCGGCAACACGGTAGGCACAACGGGCCAGGATGAGCAGCGTCGCCGACGTCAGGCCGGTGAAGAAGGCAGTGAGGCGCCAGCCGAAGCCCGAGGCGCGGCCGGATCGCAGGTAGCGGAACATGTAGTCGCCAAAGGCGGCGATGAAGAGGACCAGGACAATGACCTGCAGGCTGAGACCGGCCTGGGAGATGTCGACACCGGTCTTGTCGGAGCCGGTGGTGTCGGCGGACATGGCGCCTCCGGCGGCCTGCAGGGCGAGGCAGACGATGTCGAAGGGGATGAAGATGTAGTAGAAGAGCTGGGGCTTGAAGCGGGACAGCTCGGGGGCGAGGTAGATGATGGATTGTGAGAGAGTTACGTAGATGGATGCCGTGTAGAAGACGGGAGCAATGGTGAGACAGACTAGATTGACACAATGGTTAGACTTTGAAGTAAGGATATTATAGAAATGGCAGCAATCTCTTACTGATCTGAATCAAGAATCCAGGATAAGAAAAGGGATTGTTGTGAAGGAGGATTCTTCCGATGTATCCGATAATCTCAGTAATGCAGCCGATGAGCATGGGGATCGTGAAGCCCCAGGTCCTCCACCGGAAGCCGAGATAGAAATGAGTCAGCCCGATGACGGCAAACAGGGCGGCAAAGACGATGTTGGAGGCGAGAGAGGGCTGGTAGGACAGGATGCTCCATTCCACGGGGCAGTTGTCGAGGGTGCACGTCTCATCGGATCCGAATGTGATGATAGGGTCGGGAAGGGGTTGTGAAGGCATCGTGACCACGGTGAAGGCGGTGGTGAATTAATAATAGTTGTTTAAACACGAGCAAGTTCCCTTTTATGTCTTGTATCGTCTCTTGGTGAGATTGAACGTTGAAAGATCGTAGGGGAGGGTCTGCTGGAATTTGCAAGGTGTATATATCCCACCGTAAGGTATTCTTTGAACGCTGAATATGGGTATATGAAAGAACTTCTACTCTCAGGTCCACGGGGGGGCACTAGCTCCTTTTATTGCTTCCAACGAGAAAGGAACAGGAAGGAAAAAATAGCCCTCAGCCCGCTCAAACTGGATCCGCGTAACTGGGTTAAGCTCACGGCCCCATGGCTCGCTCTCGCACCCAGGTTTGACCATGTCCCCAAACCCCATTACCCACCCACCTCTCGGACAAGAAAAGAGACAAGCGCCCAATCGAAGCAGAAACGAGGGCCTTCCCTATGCTATGCGTCATCCGCAGCAGTGCCTTATCAGCAACGCCCCCCCTGGCCCTGAACCGATCTTACACATGTCTCCCCCAAGCCGGGGCCATGGAACAAAAACAACACCAGCGGGCCCGCGCCTCAGCCATTGGATAGGGCTTGGCGGTTCACCAAGACGGCGAGATTGTTGCCGTACCCAGAAAACAATACTCCTAGGAATAGTATAGTGCTGGAGTTGGTTACGTGTATAGGATAAAAGGGCGCTTTGACGACAAAATGGACTGACGCGCATCCCGCGGCGTCCCGGATCGTGGCTTAGCTGGCAAACAGGCGTATCGCACGTTGGCGATGATATTGCAAGCGCTCGATGGAAGACTCAGCCTGCAGCTCGCACTCGGATCGGGCCCTGAAGCCCACAATCGATGAGTATTAGCCCCTTACTTCTCTATTTTATTTTTTATTTTTGTGCAGGCCCCTCACCACGGTCATCTGTTTTTACCCAAATCAAGCAAGCTGGGCATCTATGCCACGCTGCTGGAATTATCAATCACATAACCCGTAGCGCTCGGTCCGAGTGCGAAACGGGGGGCACGGACTTCAGAAGCCCGAAAGGATCGCGGGATTGCTGTGGCATGACGCGGACAGAGCCCGTAGGCGGTAACAAAAAGCGGGCGGATCTGATTATAGCGCAAGTTTCAAGGCTTTTTTTTTTTTTTTGGTCATTTCTTTGTTTTTTGTTTGTCGATTAGCATGTGCTGCTTCGCTGATGGAGGAGCCGCATCTACTAGTGCCCTAGAACGGGGGTCTTAGCCATCATTGGTTTTTCATTGCAAATAAAAGGCCTTGGGGAAAGCAAAATCCTCTCTGCTTATTTTGCGCTGGCTTGGCAAATGCGAGAGTGACGAGGAGACATGCAGGGCGAAGTCGGTAGTGGTTGACGTGGGAAAAAAGGATTGACGTGTTCAACGCCATTCAGCCACGGTGGAGCTGCTCCAGCAATTAAGCATCAAACATGGTGGTTTTACGTGTTTACATGATAATGTTAATTGGATATACGCGTGCTAAAGCCAAGTGTTGGACAAGGTGCTTTATTCTGTGAGAGCCATTGTATCCTTTGAAGGCACCTTTTGTATGACGAGATATGGCAATTCAAGAAGAGTGTGTTGCCACCTGTTTCGGTGAAAGGCTTGCAACAATCTGAAATCATGATTGATGCCTGAATGCAGTAAATGGATCAACTCGCGCGAAGGAATCGCACCAGCATGCGCGCAAAGCCTAGCTCTCAGCCACCAGATGCCAACGACTGGTTGACGACGCACGGCATCTCAGCCACCATTTCATAGGATGGCTACTTTAATAACTTTTGACTATTGCGTAGTCCAGGGCGCCACATCATGCCATGGCTGCAGCAGAACGTTTCGAAAGGATTTCCCTATCCCGACTAGAAAGTTCAATGCTAGGGAGGTACCGGTAGTTGAACCTTTTTGCCGGAATACTACTAAGGCAGAAAGATATATGTCTATAGGTGAAGGTGACTTTTGTCACAAGTCATATATATATATATTCGCTCTCAGCTCTGGCTGCTCCTCTCGCTGGTCTCGGCTCTTGATAACAGCCCGATAAACCTTCCAATATGTATCAATAGGCCAAGTTTTGCATTGAGCTACGTTTATTCATCTTTGGACAGCCCTACAGGTTTCAAGCCTGCCATCTCCCAAAAAGCCCGCCAAAACAACAGAAACAAGCATATATAATCCGAGAGTTGCAAAACGAATCAATCGGGCTCTCATAGACGCTTCAACGCCAGACACGTTCGATGACTCGTATCTAGCATTGTTAGTGCAAAATTGCACCAGTCCAGCTGATATCGGGATGCATAGGTATGGGCATGCAGTCTTGGCAAAGGTAGGATCACCAAGAGACGGGACACGTACCACATGAAACTCTACATCGGGACCAATACACTACCCAAAATGTATTAGAGTAAAGAACTTTATTGATTGAGTTTCCCTGGTATCATTTTACTCAACGTTCCTCATCAAAATCTAAGCCATACCCCTCAAAGCACCATCATCACAAATCACAATACGAAGCATAGCATATCCGAGCAGAACAACATTACTCAAATCAGCGAATAGTCCGCAGCAGCCGGCTATCTCCCATTTAGCCCAAAGAGAAAACTTTTGCATTAGAGCTTTCTCAGCAGCAAAAAAAAGGGGGGGGATGGAGGCTTCAAGGATCCATGTCTTTCTTATACGACCGCCCAGCTGGTTTACGACTCGATTTTAGCTCCGCTGCGTATCGCATTCCATCTCAGCCTTTAACTCCGCTGCGTATCGCATTCCATCTCAGCCCACTTCGTCTCTGTTAGATTGCTTCCACGTGGGGAAACAATGCGGACTATCTAATCTTATTTTTTTTTTGTCTCACATTGCTGTGCTTGCGGGCTGTGTATGAAGCATCTTGTATGACCACCATTGCCATGTACCTGATATACCACTCACTACCTAGGTACGTAATACATTAGGCCCAAATGTCCTCTACTCTACTACAGAGAAAAAAAAAGTATTTAATTCACCAAACACATTCTGAGATATTCATGATCAAACAGTTCATATCATCTACGTCAGCGTACTGTAGCATCTCAACCGTTGGCACATGTACTTGTAGTTAGTTGGAAGTCGGTAGTCGGCAGCGATCGGCATGCCGAATCCCTAATTAGGCAATCCCGATCTATCTTAAAGAATGAATTGCCAACAACGAAAATATAAAAAATAAAGATGGCAAACAAACACAAGAAAGGAAACCAAGGGAAAAAAAAAAAAGTTTTCTTGACAATGGAGTCTCGGAATACCGGAGTACGGACCACAAACGACCATCTTGCCTTCCGCTCCGTTTTGCCCAGATCCCATAATACGGAGCACCGGCGCAAGTACCCGTCCCGGTTCTGCGTTGTGTGTCATCCAGAGTTACTACAAATAAAAGTCTAGTGTTCTATTGACATTACAAAGCACGGACAACGTACCCGCCAAGCCAGACCAAAGGAACGAGTGAATGGCCCTCCATTATCACCAACTGATTTTTGTAGGCATCCAGATTAGTTCCGGCTCCCTCAATGCTAACAAAACACGACATCCTCCTGTATCTTTGCAGCCCAATATGGAAGTCTGCTTACATAAGCGCCGTCTTCTCTTCCCACCAATCACAACAGCGACTCTCGCCTCTTCCGGTTTAATTTCCGTCGCAGTGACGCCCCTAACCCGCACAGGCAAGAGCTTGAGCGCTTTGCGAAATGAGCACCCACAAACAAATGTCTTTGCTCGTTTCACAATGATGATGCGGCGATTGTTCTACTTCCGGCATCTTTACAACACACCCCCACACATACACAGGCGTTTGCTTTTTTACTAAAATATCATAAACATGACAGTGAGACTGGGCGCAATCGATATAAGTAACAAAAGGTAAAAATATTCTTGAAGAAGATGCTAAGAAAAAGCACAATCGTTAAATAGTTTGATATCTCAGTTCGTGACCAAAAAAAAATGCTTCGTTCAAAAAAAGACATCCAGGACGAGACCCGCAGTTGGCTGTCTGACTAGATCGTCCCCGCGAACGCCCGCGCGATTAGAATTATAAGTACACACTCCAAGGGGGTATAGTCCCATATTTGCCGTAAAACTCTAGTATTATTGAAAATAAACTCTAGTCCAACTCTTTGTACATGTCCAGCCAAATCTCAAGAGGGATGTCTGTCGTGTGTATGTTGCCATGTCCCGCAGGCCTAATAACTCAAGAAAAAGTTACAAGGAAATGATTTAAGCAAGGAACACAGCGACGGCACCGGCAATGGCGGCGAAAGCGACGGAGCCAGTGAAGGAAGCAGCGCCGTTAACAGGGGGAGGAACAGAGCTGAATTGAAGCAGTTAGCATATATGCCATTACATATTGATCATCATCATAAAAGGTATAAACTCACGTTCCGTTGCCAGCAGGGCCAGTGGGGACAGGAGGAACAGCACCAGTGCCAGAGGGAGCACCAGCACCGTTGCCGGGGGCACCACCAGCAGGGGCGGTAGCGCAAGGAGCAGCAACGGTCTGGTACTCAACAGAGGTCAGAACGGTGGTGTAGCTCTTGGTGACGGCGATGACGGAGCTGCCGGGGCACTGAGCGGCGGCGGAGCTGACGGGGGCACCGGGGGCACCGCCAGTGGGAGCAGCAACGCCGCTGGTGGGGAGCTGAGCCGGGATGGAGACAGCGGGGACAGAGACGGCAGCGGCGGAGCTGACGGGAGCGGCCGGAGCAGAGTAAGGAGGAGGAGCAACGACAGAGGAGTAAGGAGCAGTGCCGTTGGACCAGACCTGGGTGGTGGGAAGAGCCGGGGCAGAGGTGATGACCGGGCCGACAGCGGTGGAGGTAGGGACAACCTCAGTGGACAGGACGGTGCTGTGAGCCGGGCAGTTGGTGACCTCAGGGCCGCAAGAGGTGACGGTGTGGACGTTGGTCACGTAAAAGGTAGAGGTGGTCAACGGGATGTAGTTGGTCTGGACGGAGGTGGTCTGGTGGCGGGCCGGGCAGTTGGTGATGGAGGCAGCACACTGGGTGATGGTGATCAACTCGGTAGTGTAGTCGGTGGAGACGGGCTCCTGGGCGAGGACCGAGGTGGCCAGAACAGCGGCGGCGGTGGTGAAACGCATCTTGGATGATTTTTTGGTTTTGGTGGTTCTTGAAGAACGAAGTGGTTTTGTTTTAGGTTGAAAGAGTGGATGAAAGCGTAAAGCTTCGTTTGCAGTTTGTTTTGAAAGAATGGACGACCGAAGTCAGAGCGAGCTGGTAATTATGCTTAGTGGGCTGGAGAGAAAAGAAGAAGAAAAAGAAGATGCTGCTCGACCGAGCGTGGCCTCATATTAATAGGCATATCGACATCGACTGTGAGCTCTTTGCGAGCACTCGCCTTGCTCCATCCCATTGGATACCCCGGGAAATTGCGTCCAGAATGGATGTCCATCTAGGGGGTTCCTGAGTGGATGTCTGGGTGGAGATGCTTGTCGCGCCAGTTTCATCCACCTCTTAGAATGGCCAAGATGAGGGGGTCCGCGAACCATCCCGGGCGCAAACCAGCCAACCCCTGTCCTGATTTCTGCAGGTACAACATCAATCCATACCGTGCGCCAAACGGCCGAGCCCAGCGTGCGAATTAGCGCATGAGCGCATGAGCAGCGCGGACCATGATGCTTGTTTGCGCTCCTGCGGCGGCAGCAGATCAGCTCGCCATTGGGCATGACCCTTGCTTTCGTATGTCTTGGGCCATGCTGTGCCAGCACAGGTGCTTTATACGACGTAGACCTGCCACAGCAATGAGCGATAAAGCAATGATGGCAAGGAGTGCGCATGTAGGGATTGATTGTGAATGAATTCAATGGGGGGAAATATAGAGGTTGCAGCAGCTTGAGTAATGAAGGTACTCCAATAATCTGCTTAGACCAGTGCTAAAACTCACCGTCGTTAATGGTTCCATCAAGAGGCACATGCCTTCATTTCAACCTTCTAAATTGGTTTCGTCTATGAGCTGGAGCTTCTTCGGCAGCAATACCGCCTTTGGAGATAAGACGACGGAGTACGCGAGAGAACCCCCCCCCCCCCTTCGACTCTGTGCTAGTCACCGGCTTCATCGTTCCGCTGGCCACAAGTTTGAGAATGCTTGCATTTAATCTCTGGAGTCGATAGTCTCAACTCGTACCTGCATACCGCACGTTGTACGAAGCACTCTGTGCTATTCTCGTACAAGCATCACCTTTCCGTGGCGATTTCAAGGTGATACCGCTGAGGATCGAGGTCGATCGTCTCGGGAGGCGGGCCTTTGCGCCTGTATTTTCGAAACTCAGTCTCAAGTTGATCTTTTTTGTGGACTAGAAAAGGACTACCTTTGATGACAAGTGCTGGCTGGCCTGCAGCAAACCCAGCAGAATGCACAGGGAGAAAAGAAGGGACCCGGCAGACAGCTGGGACTTGCATGAGACTGACCAGATTGGCGAAGTTGGCTCACCCTCACCACCGAGCAAGTGAAGCATTGTGAGACCGGCTGTCTATCATAACAGAGTGACGAGTACAGAGTATCCAAATGTCCATTTTCCATTTAATATTTCCAGTACACGGCTTCAACGTAGCGCTGGCACTAGGAGTGCCTGCATTTGCCGTCGTCTCTGCTGCCGGGGGATGATATCGAAGGGATATCGCCGTCTATCCCAGCGTTTAACCTTCCTTTCGTGGACATCTCTTTAAGCGGTAGGGACGTCTTCAGACGCTACATCCAGCCCAAACTCTCTCATCACTGCACCTTGTCACTAGAGTAGAGAGCGCTGTAGTGGCTGCTGTCTGCTCCATATTAGCTGCCCAGGCCAACTGCTCATCTGCGCGCTTGAAATACATCTCGAAGTCCAGACATTGGAGTCAATGAACTTCATTTCCTCATATGGACGTATTTGTTGGCCGCGTAGTCTGCTTGAACCATGTCTTGGCAAAGTTCCAGATCTTTCCAAACAAAACAGCACGCCGGTACAAGCGATGCCATCGTATACCAGGGGCAATTGGCCCCTGTCACTTGATGCTCACAACAGAGCAGCAAGGAGCGAGTGCAGGGACTGGTACGAAGTTGTACTACCGGCAGCCTCCCCACGTGTACCGTATTGGCCAACACACTTGGCACGTTACAACACGACCCTTCTGCTGTCCCTTACCAGCAAGCCAAGTACCATATAGTAGCGACAAGTGTGTAACATGATCCTTTGGAAATGAAGATTGCACATTTGCCACACACTACCCGTACTCTCCATAGTAGTGCAGGTAGCACAGCAGCAGTGCTCCATACTCTTGCCCTTTCTTCTCCTGCTAGGGCATGCCAGGTCTCTTTGCTGACCGAGTGGGTCGTCAGACACTTTTCGAGCTTAGAGTGCTGCTAACATCAACCAAGTAGGAGGAATATACTCCTGGGCAGTGACAGTCCTGCTCCGTATCAGTACTCATGCCAATACAGAGGCTTCTACCAATCCAAGTATCTTTCTAGAAGAAAGCGTTGCAGGGGATGAAACAAGCGGTGAATTCACACTGACAGCGTGGCTTCGGCTAGGCCTTAGTAGGTAGGCAAACAGCAAAGACATACTGTAGGCAACGATGTTTTCCCAAGCTCTATCACAGCCATCACACACTTGAAGTTGAGCATGTCGTGCAACCGTAAGAGCATGCTGGCGCGAGCATATGCCTACCTACACTTTCCCAACTTTGCGGCGAAAATGCTGAATACTGTAATCAAAAAAGGATGGTCGGCACGCTTGAAGTTGGTCGGCTGGACGCCACACGTGCGCTAATGCAGGAACCGTTGCTCACCCGCCCATCTCAGAGAGATTCAAGCGTTTTTGTGGCTTGCCTCGAGCCAATCTTGCTCGCAGTCGCCCGCATTCTGTGGAGTCGCCCCTGGCAGCAGCTCTCGCCGTGCTAAAGCAGAGCGGTGATTTGATGTAAATTAGCCGCGGCCATGGAGAGCTACTAGTCCTTCATCGCCCAGACTGCTCTTAGAAGGTGAAATCGGCGGCATTCGCCTCGCCGAATGAGGGGGATTGCTTCGACGATGGTTAGCCCGAAGCCACCTGGAGCTAACAAAACTTGGCTCCTCCTGGACCGAGATGCTGCTAAGGCGAATGGGTGCAGATTGAGGGGTTTGTTGGCCAATTTGGGCACCGCGCTATGCTCCGTTTCCAGAGCATGGGCAGGGAACATGACTATGTGTCGTGATGGAGTATTCGTAGAGTGCAGCTTGCTGTTTGTAGGTCCAAGTAGGGCGGTATTGCGGAGGGCAAACAGGCAAGTTAGGAGGTGCGTGAGAGCAGCTGGAGGCGGTGAGAGAAGTACCGCACGCTGCTGCGAAATAAGCTGGCATTGCAAGTGCCCCGTTCAGCAGCGCTGCTCACACTGTGCGCAATGGCAAGAGGCTTGCTCTGTGGCACGGCCTAATTAAACTCTCTCCATTGATCATCGCATTGGCGCGTTTTCCGAATGATTTTATCCGTCAATAGACCCAGCGGCTGCATCTGGTGATTCGTTTGAGCACTCGCTGGCCTGAGAGTGCTCCTGTCGATCCCCAGCAGCGCCTCTGCGCATTGTCCTTCTCTGTCTCGTGTGTTTGATCGTCTGCAATGACGTTACTGTATCTTGGCAGGTTTCCTTATCGCTCGCTATTAATGGCTTTATCAAAATCTGTGGCATCACTACACCTAGGTTCTACTCGTATGGCCTATAATTAGCCATCTCGCGTCCCAGTTACAAGGTTGATTATAGACTCAGTTGTACGAAATAAGAGATGAAACGGCCGAGCTACAGTACGGGTTGGTTACATGCGCACGGGCACGCGGCGGTGGCCAATGTTACAACAACTCACGAGTAACAACTTCGCCTCTTTATAAAAGTGGTATCGCTTAATGGATGTAACAAAGGCCTTCGAGTGCCAACGGAAATACTTGCAGTATTATTGACCAACCTTCCGAATGCTAGATTAACATTACGACTTGGTTGTAGTTGATTGTTGTTTCAATTGCTTCGTATTTTAGCAGCCATGTTATCGATGGGAAGCAGGCCCCTGTTCAAGTCTCCTTTGACTTACTCCTAGCAACTCCCGCAAACATTATCAACAATAGAGTGTAGAGCTGACTTGGGCATCAGAGACCAGTGAGGCTGAGTGGAAAAGATAGATGTCCACTTGCCTGTATCATACAGGGAGAACCACACTCACCATAGCTTAATTCTGTTCTGAAACTTCTAGCTCAAGCTAATTCTAACGGATAACGAGTTTATTTCTATTTCAAGGTGCTGATGCTCAGTTCCATTGCTGAAAATAGCATGGCAGGGTATGTGCATTGCATTGTGCATTGCAGTGTGTCAAACGAAAATCAACCTTGAGCAAGTACCTAAATAGTACAGTAAAGTCGAGCTACAAGTACATCAGACAGATCCATACAGCTTTACGCGTGTACCCGTATTGTGAGACGGCAAAGCCCGAGTCTGCAGTGACCAGCTACTCATGCAGTGACAGATCTGCGCGGCATCCATATCTACGAAGCCCACTTTGTAAGCTTAGCTAATGTATAAACCAACATGAGAAATCTGCAAGTATAGAGTACAGGTTAGACGATGTGCTTCACTTGTATGGGGCTCTACTGAATTAACAACAGGCGGATTGTCATTTAGTATTCACATATCATCTTTCCTGGCGTGAGATGCCCGGATTTGCTGTCATAATTACCCATTATAGGCTGCGCTTGGGATTTACCGTATGAAGAGTATTATAATTCCATAGCTCCGCCGTATATGTAGGGAGCTTCATAATGATACACGTGAGCACAAGAAATCGGTAATATTTTAGCATCTGTTGCGACTTCATCCGACATGAGTGTGCATGCTGTAAGCTGATGCTGTAGCGCTCAGTATTGACAATTGTAAGTTTTGGTATAGCTATTGCTCTATGAAAGCCGAGCCGCTTCTGAGATGATGGTTGAACGAGCCGGCCGGCTGCTGCCTCCTGGCTCCCTTATCGCAGCCTCACTTGCTGTGATGGCGATAACCGAGTGATGAATAATACATACTGTGGCACAATAGGGGAATGCTGCCTATGGCCACAGTGCTATTCTCCGTGCCCACAGCACAGGATTTGTCCGAAAATCATCCGCACCAAACTTCTTCGCACCTAGCACCCCACATATACCATTTGAGCCTGCACCGACTTTTGAAATAGCGAATAAAGACGCACATTTTGTGTCCGAGCGACGATAAGAGGCTGACTTTGACGTCTGTGGGTTCCGCCTCTTATTTTCACCACCTTCGATCCACGGCGAACGTCCTCCCCGGTCGAACTCGGTACGACAAGAGCACAAGAAAAAATATCTTCCGACCTAGGCATGCCTCTACGGTAGCCTTGTCGCCGCCTAATAATTATAAGCATGCTGGATGCTGCATGCACAAGGCTGCCAGAGTTATAGCAGCATCCCGTTTTAGCATACAACTTTCTTTGGTGTTTTTTGTTTTATCAACTTGAATTTGAGAATGGAGGCCCAGGTACGTCAGTCTGCTGCCTTTCTTCTAGTATCCCTGTTGTGCTGCCCCGCCATCGGAGCCTTCTCTGGCTGAAGCTGTCATGGATTGAGAAAGAAAGCCGTTGGAGGTGTGGCCATCTTTGGCGTCACAGCTCCAAAACATCTGTTATGCCTTATGCTTGCCACCTGGAGACTTCAGAGATAGCTAACGCTCCTTGTATTAGGTCGAGAATGCCGTTGAGATTCTGTCGAATCCTACATCCGACCAGTCGGTGAAAGAGCAAGCATTTGAATATCTAAACCAGCTACGGAGCGACCCGCAGGGATGGCAGGCTTGTACGAATCTTTTTGCCCGGATCCCTCGAACGTCTGAAGTTGTGCGCATGGTGTGTTTGGAGGTGGTCAACTATGCAGTTCATACACAAGGTCTGGATGGAGAGAGCTTAGCTTTTCTCAAACACACCTTGCTGCAGTATGTCCGCCAGTCATACGGGGCAGGTGTCCAGCAGGAGCCGGACCCTGCCCATCTCCAGAACAAGCTTACGCAGACTTTGACATATCTATTCGTCTTTCTCTACCGCGACGGCTGGCAGAGTTTCCTCGACGACTTCCTCGACTTGACCGGGCTTCACCAGAATGTCGACAACGTCTCTGGTGTTCTTTTTTACCTACGAGTCCTATCATCGGTACACGACGAGATTGCAGACATGCTGCTTTCACGACAGAGCGGCGACTCCAAGCGAAATACTGAGCTCAAAGACCAGCTGCGTGCTCAGGATATGCAGAAAGTTGCCGAATCTTGGAAGCAGCTTCTTTCTAGATACAGCGGAAACGATGTCGTTGTAGACCTAGTCTTGAAAGTTATCGGCAAATGGGTTAGCTGGATGGACATTTCTCTAGTCGTCAGCCAGGATATGCTTAACCTGCTGCTACCCGTTGTTGGACGAACGGGTAGCGAAGACAAAGTGCGAGATACCGCTATCGACACCCTGACTGAGATTTGTGGCAAGAAGATGCGGTCGACGGACAAGATGGATATGATTTCATTCCTCAACTTGCAGGATATTGTCAGCCAGCTGGTTGCCAGCCCAATGCTCAACGACCTCAAAGGCACCCCGCAGTACGATACAGACCTTGCCGAGGCTATTGCTAAACTCGTCAACACCACCGTGGCGGATATTATCAGGGCTCTCGACGACAACCAGGCTACCGATGACACCCGGACACGGGCCAAGCAACACCTGGATGGCTTTCTCCCGCTGCTTCTGCGCTTCTTCTCGGACGAGTACGACGAAGTGTGTTCCACAGTCATTCCATCGTTGACCGACCTCCTCACTTTCCTCCGAAAACTAGGGCAACTCAACCAAGAGTATTCAAACATGCTCTCGCCGATACTCAATGCAATTGTTCAGAAGATGCGATACGATGAGACGACGTCATGGGGTAACGAGGACGAGCAAACAGACGAGGCAGAATTCCAAGAACTTCGAAGACGCCTGCAGTACCTTCAAAAGACCATTGCGGCTATTGACCAGAATCTATATATGGACGTACTTAGCAATCTAGTGGCGACCACTTTCCAGACGCTGGACCAGCAGGGGTCGCACATGGATTGGCGGGACCTTGACCTTGCACTGCATGAGATGTACCTCTTTGGAGAACTTGCGTTACCGAACCAGGGTCTAGGCACAAAGAGCCAACCATCTACGGAAGCTTCCGAACGATTGGTTGTCATGATGCAGAAGATGGTCGAATCAGGTAAGTACTAGCGAAAAAGCAATATGCAGGCCACTGGAGCGATGATACCGGAACGTGGCTAACAAGTGGATATAGGAATCGCTAATTTCTCGCACCCTGCAATCGTCCTCCAATACATGGAAATCTGTGTCCGGTATTGTGTTGTTTTTGAAACTCATTCGCAGTATATCCCTCAAGTTCTGGAAAACTTTGTTCGCCTCGTCCACCACAATCATGTTCGCATCAAGACCCGATCCTGGTACTTGTTCCACAGGTTCATCAAGCATCTTCGATCACGTGTGGGAAATGTCGCCGAAACTGTCATTCAGTCCATCGGAGACCTGCTGCCCATCAAGGCCGAGGTTCCTGGAGAAGATGCCGACGATGACATGTCGTCAGATGAGTCTGACCATTCAGCCGATGCTCTCTTCACCAGCCAGCTCTACCTCTTTGAGGCTATTGGATGCATCTCTTCAACGCATAGCACGCCGGCCGAAAACCAAGCTTTATATGCCCGATCTGTAATGGATCCTCTGTTTCAAGATATGGAGGTTCACCTTCCTCGAGCCAAGGGTGGGGACGCACAAGCAAGCTTGCAAATTCATCACATTGTCATGGCGCTAGGTACCTTGGCACACGGCTTTTCCGACTGGACTCCAGGATCGACCGCAGCAAATCAGCATGGGCCACCGGATAAACTTGTCTCTGACGAATTTTCTCGCGCTGCAGAGGCCATTCTCATTGCTCTTCGTGAGCTGAACTCATCAGCAGAGATTAGGACCGCTTGCAGGTCAGCCTTTTCCAAGCTGCTCGGCGTTTTAGGTGCCGCTGTTCTCCCCCAACTTCCTAAGTGGATCGAAGGATTACTCTCGCAAAGCTCATCTAAGGACGAGATGGCAATGTTCCTGCGACTTCTGGATCAGGTGGTGTTTGGCTTCAAAACAGAAATCTATGACGTCCTCAACATGCTATTAACACCGCTTCTTCAACGCATCTTCGGAGGCCTTGGAGAACCCATCTCTGGCACCGATGACGAGATACAGTTGGCAGAACTTAGACGAGAATATCTCTCCTTCATACAAATCATCCTGAACAACGGACTAGAGGGAGTTCTTATCAGTGAAGCAAACCAAGGCTTCTTTGAGCCAATGATTGCTTCTGTTCTCGAACTAGCAAAGACCTTGGATGGAAACCTTGGGCCGAGTCGACTGGCGTTTACGATTATGGCTCGGATTTCCGCTCTTTGGGGCGGCCCTGATGTTGCCACCATTTCACGAGAACCAACGGCGCCAACGGGCAGCCCTAGCCCAGCAATTCCTGGATTTGACCATTTCATTATGGAAAGATTCCACTCAACGTGTTGGGAAGTTATGCGAAACCCTAGCTTCAAGCCCTCATCTGATGCACAGACAAAACAAGTGTTGACGGAAATTGCGGCATTGGAGCAGATGATATATACTAAAACTGGTAATGTTTACATCCACCAAATGCAGAATGAAGTCTTCCCCAGCTTGGGCATCAACGGCGATGACTTTTTGCGATCTTTGACGACCTCAACGGACAAGCGACAATTCTCAAACTACCTCCAGCAGCTGTTAAGCAGCAGGTGATGAGAGTCTGCAGTCCACTTGAGATTGATGACTTTATATACAATGGTATAAGTAGCGGCTAGGAGTGGCATGTGTCAAAGTGCTAGATTGGAGCCGGACACGAAAAACGAGATCATGTGAGAAAAAGAGGGGGTGGGGTGCGGCATATCATAGAAGCAACACATAAAACTGCAACGTTTTATCCCCCATTTTATTCTCAAAAAATACTAAAGACAAAAGAAGATGATATTTTTTTCATTTGTTAGGTCCGCGCACATGCGTGGTGGTTTGGTATAACGGGTTTTCCGGTATCTGGTAGGAGGACTTGTTGGGTAGGTAGGTAGGTAGGTAGGATAGCATATATACTATAATGGAAATCGTGTAGACGATGGTTGACATGATGGCACGTCTGCACTCTCTAGACTTTGTTTGAAGCGTCATCTATACCGCATCTGGAAAATATGGGTTTCTTCGTGTATGTGATATCGAATTCCCTCGCGATATTCGATCACGGTGTAGAGCCGGGTATCTACCTACGTTTAGTAAAGTAGCATATCCCACCGCAGTCTGTCGCAATACATCTTATTTAGGTAGGCCTTCAAAAGATTTCATGGTACCTAGGAAAGGAAAGCGATATCCGACCTTTGGTATGAAATAAAGAACCTTGTTTAGTGGCTTGGTACCTAGAATCCTATCAGGCCCATAGCCAAGGTCGAGTCTGCCATTCCACCTCATAGACTACTTGACTTTGGCTGTGGATCTGGATAAGAAGATATGTATTCTTTATAGGCATTGTATAGTGCAAGTACTTATCTGCTTATCTATATCTACAGCTAAAGTCCAGTTTGCGAGGTCAAAGCCGAAGTCTATAGCCACAGCGACTCGATTTTTAGCTGTGGATTTAGGTAAGAAGATAGGTAACCTTTGCTACCCGAAAGAAAAGGTATCTATCCGTTTAACCTAGATTCACAGCCAAAGTCGAGTTGCTGTTTGACCTCTCAAACTCGACTTTGGCTGCGGATCTCTCGCCGGCCTGGTAAGACTTTAAGTATGTACTTTTATGTCAATAGGCGTTTTTTATTTAAATTTCATTGAGATACTTACCCAATTGCTCACTGAGATTTATAGCCAAAGTCGAGTCTGTAAGATCAAACCACAATTCGACTTTGACTGAGGGTCTCTCGTCGGCCTAGTAGGATCTTAGTTGCCTATTTTGCCTTTTCATAGGCATTTTTTGTATGTGTTTCCATAAAGACACCTATTTGCTTAGTGAAACCCACAATCAAAGTCAAGTTTGCGAGGTCAAGCCCCGGTCTCAGATAATCTTGGGTGTGAATCCTTAGTTTTTCAACAGGACTGCAGATTACCAATATCCAGAGACCTCATCTAAAAGCCAAATTATGACGCTTGATTCTCATTTCTTGCAGGACCTTTTGAATTTCCTATAGAATCTATATCGAAAACTATATATATTAACAACGTTGCTTGCTGCCGCCGCTAAGCTGTGAAGAAACGAAGAAGAAACGAAACGAAAGTCCCAAGTGCTCTATCAGTTTTTTCATACCTCGACTATCGTCGCCCCATCCCTCTATCGCATTCTCCTTCTCTTTCTTCCATATATATACCCTGTCATAAAATTATTCACTTCTCTCTATCCGCTTGTATATATTAAAGTAGAGCAACAATCAGAAAACGAAGAAGAAAAAAAGAGAAGAGTTCGTCCAACGAATTATTTAAATAATGTAGCCTCCACCTGCAAGGCTGCGCCAATCTCGTACTCCCATGGCTTCTTCAAGCTCGACGCACCACCAAAGGACTTCCTTCGCCTTTTCCAGCTGCCCGTTCTCTTCATGAGCGCGAGCGAGCGCAAACCATGCGTCGGAATAGTCCCAGCCCGTACCGAGGCGAGTGAGGCCTGATAATAGCGTAAAAGCGCGATCACGCGCGGCTAGTCGATCTATAAGCGGTAGATGAGAGGCCTTGTATGGCGCGGGAAGTTTGTCCTCCTCTTGAGAATCGCTACCAGAGCCTGCAGCTTTGGACTCCTCTTTTTCGTCTTCCTCGCTAGGGCTGGGGACTTCAACCGTAGAAGGTTCGGAAGCGAGGCCCAGAGGAGTAAACGGTAGAGTTTTGAGGCTACCTGACGGAGGTTCAGATCTGTGATGAATTGCATCATCTGTAAATTCGTGCCCATCCAGCGGTGGAATAGATGGTGTGGGGAGGAGTTTCTCGCTATATATGTCAAGCAAAATGTTGGATAGACCGACAATGGCAGCAGGATGATCGGGATAGTGCGTCAAAGCTGATTCGAAATCAGTCCTGGCCATGTATGGCGTCTGTTTAGCCAATGATATCAAACCCAGCTAGATGTCCAAGTTAGTAATCCATTGGTATTACAATTCACGACAAAAAAGGCTGCACTACTCACCTCAGAGTAAAGGTCACCCCATAGCTCATCAATACTCTTCTTCTCGCCCCAAGCCGGACCTTTAGAAGAGCTTGGTCCAAGAGAAAGCTCTTTAGCGTAATCGTTTTCTAGTGTCTCAATCAATTTCCGAGCTTCAGCCACGGCACCTCTGCAGTCCTCCAACAATCCCGCTCGTCGATAGAATCCAGCAATCATCAGCCATACTTTAACTAAGACTGTTGTCCGCTGGCGCCTCTCCTTTTCTCTTGGGAATTTGATAAGAGGTAGTAGCTGAGGTAGTGTAAAGCTGATGTCAACTGACAGCTCTGAATCCTCAGTCAACTTGGAACTGTTGGTGAGATTTGAGCTCAGTGAGGAAATTGTCCTTCCGCGAGAGGAGCTTGCCATCCGAGTCTGCAGACGTCGACCAGATGCCGAGAAGAAGTCGTGGCCAGCCGGATCGGAGTCTCCGATTATCGCTGATTGATGTGACACGCCACCTGCGCTCGACGATCTGCGTCGTTGGCTGCCGCTTCTTGACTTTTTCTTCAAACTATTTCTCCTTCCAGACTCGCTCCTTCGTGTCTGAGTGCCCAGACTACCACTCCTTGACCTTGTGTGTCCATTTTCTGCTGTTACTTGGACCGCCGGAGCGACCGTTGCAGCCGCAGTGGTGTGAGACGTAGCAGGCCGAGCAGGTGTAGTCGAATTTTCTCCCAGGTTCTGGTTGCTTGCCTGCCTTGACCTATCAACTCGCGATCCAAAGATGCTACCCTTGAAAGTGCGCGACGTCCTTGGCGGCTCTGCAATAACGGGGGGCCTGAGTGCCGGCTGTTGCACGTCGATACTACCGAATAGTCGTGAAAACAGAGTCAACAGCTCCAAACTGGCATTCACAGCAACATCTGGGCCTTCCATGAGCTCAACCAAGGCGAGCTGTGTCATCTTAACGTCCATGATTCCGATCTTTTCCTCGTCGCTCATATCATCAACAAGTCCTCTTGGAGGCAAATTTTTAGTTTCAACGTCCTTGAGATGTTCGCTGCGGAAACGATTTTCTGCTTTGCCAAAGAGAATGGTTGGATCTTTGAACTGGTCCAGAGCACCTTCACACGCCCTTGCTGCCATTACATAGTCTTGTCGGGCGCTTAAGAGGATGGATAAGAGATGCCACAGGGGGATAAGAGACCTCTCTTGCCAGTAAGGCCCATAGAATAGGTTGTAGTCTTCCTCGAATCCATGCACAGCTATTAAGGCAGACCTAACAAGCTCTATGGCTGCAGTTAGCTCGCGTCGCTCAGCTAACAAGAGTCCAAGAGCGAAAAAGCTTCTGACATCTTTTGAGCGGCCATACTCAGGGGCCAAAGACCGGCGAAGGCATCTGATTGCTTTGGACTGTATCTCAGCCCTCGACCCAGCATCAGTCGTCACTCGAGACCAGTGAGCATGACCGAGTCCAATAGCTTGCCACGCGAGAGCAATAGTCTGAGGGGGTGGAGCGCTAGCTGGTACTTCGATCTCCTCTTTATCCTCTACGATGATGGGTGTGCCGTTCTCTTGCAGATTAGAGTGTGGAAGTTTAGAAAGCCACTCTTCCAGCTCGGTGCCCAAATGTCGGGCCTTTTCTGCGGCTTGTTGATGTCCGTAGGAACACAGAATCATAATAGCCTGTGATATAGTCTCCAAAGCGGTCTTGTCGTCGTCCAAACTCGGCTCTGCGTGCCCTGTCTTTGCAACACGCGCTTTGCCCTTTTTAACAATATCTAGGTAAGAGTCGAGCGCCTTAAACCCTAGGTCGAACTCGGCCACTGATAAATGGACGAGGAATAAGGATCGAAGAATGGCTGTCGAGTGGTATGTCCTTGTAGCGGCATTGTACAGGGTGTCGAGCACGGTACGGCTAAGAAGATCCCGGCCCCCTTGGCCCAGATCTTGCTCGCTCCACCCACGACCACACAATATGGACCAGTTCATCATGACTTGCTTGATGAATGTTTCGATTTCCGCACGCTCTTCGTCTGCTCGTGGAAAAGCTGTCTCGCCAAGCAGAAGAGCTTGATAGGCGGACTCTGCACGCTGGATCTCAACTCTTAATTGGCCTCGAGCTGACATATCTTCCACCATCTTTTCAGCTTGCCCAGGTGGATAAGGAAGGTCGTTCTCCAAAATTCGAGACAAGGCCAGATAATATTCGTGCCATATCCTTCTTCGAGGGACAGCGCCTTTGAAGCCAAAACCGCCCGTGACGGGGGCTGACATGATTTTCCAGTATCTTGCCCAAGATCGAAAGCTGGCAATGGAATTAGGGTCATCCAAGGAAAACTCGTTATTGTGAAGCGCGTCACTGTTGAGCATACAGTGCTCGGTGAGGAACAGCTCTGACCAATACCGCAGCTGCTTACGGACGCCGTGGCCACACCATACTCGGTCCAGAGACGGGAGGCCCGCCTGCAGTGCTTCCAGCGCCTGCAATCTCTGGCCATCTCTCATCAGGCAATTAGCCCTGAGGTAGGCAGCCTTCAAGGCACACACACTGGTCCACTCTGAAACTGTATTGGCCGGGTCGATGTCTGGATATTGCTCGTTGAGACTCTTGGGTAGTCGCTCGAGCGCCAGCGCGTATTCCCCAACAACCCAATGCAGCCATCCAACACACACTTGGGCCTGGAATCGTTCTTCGGTGGGATTTGCCTCGGCCTCAATCACAGCCATGAGCTTCGGAAGTCGATTAGGGACGTCGAGCTCGGCCAGTTGATCGCCGGCGGCTGTTACTTTGGAGATGACGCATTCCGTTTCGGCGGTCAATGTGAGGCCTGCGAATGGACCAATCGTTGGCAATTAGCTTCCATGTGTACTCGACGATCGGACCTTGGGGGAGCAATGACGCACATTCTCGTGATGGATCGTGTTTGCGGACCTTGCGAACCAGCTCGGGGACGTCTGTCCAGTTGCCCTCGCAGCGGGCGTCGTCCAGCGATTCAGCATAGCGAGCAGCCTTTGCCTAAGCATGAGGAAAAAAGAGAGATCCAGATTAGCATTGTGTTGTCATCCATCGTTTTGGCGGCGGCGCCTTACAGCCATTTTGCGACAAGCTCAGGGGTGGGAGATCGGGTTCTGGGAATGGTGGCTCGCAGCTGTTTAGCCTCCCCGACGCACGCATATATGCAGCTCTAAGGCAAACGCGCAAAAAACAGAAGCTGCCGGTGTCACGGGGTGAGTCCAGCACAAGCTCTGACAGCCAGCCGCCTCGACGCAAAAGAAGGAGTCGCGATCACAGGCCTCGGAAAAGGGGAGATGAGCAGCGTTCAAAGGGAGGCGGCTGGACCATGTGGCAGAGGCAAATCAAGACCCTTGACGTAGTGCAGCGGTCGAAGCTCGTGGCTGTACAACTAATACAGGCGCAGTGAAAGAGTGGCCTGCTAAGATTGGGCCACTCTAGGCAGGGTCCAGCAAGATGGCACCTAATTGGTAGCGGTCGCAGCACCTGTAAATTGGCCTGTGCCTCCTGTGATTGCGACGTGCACTAACATTAACTGAATGCCCGTCTAATCCCAATCGCTGCACTGGTGGGAAGTCCACAGCGGGCCAATCAGCGGCACAGCATCGAACCCCACGGCGACCGACAAGGTACCTGAACCTTGCCTGTATGGGCAAGGAAAAAAAAAAAAGTTCACCGTTGACAAGCAGCAGATGAGAGCTGCATGTTGGAGGTGAATATTCTATAAGGTGACGCACCTGAGGGCCAATTGGCGATAAAACTTTTATTTGTGCACTCTTGATGATACGTTTTATTTTGATTCTATAAACATCGCCTTCAGCGGTTGATGTGTTTTGCTTTCGCCATCTTTGTTCTTTTTTTAGGCCGAGTATCAATATCAACTATACGCAGAATAAAGAATTCTCGTTCTATCTCAACCTTTCACCGGCAATATATCAATAATATCGACACCAAATGTCTTCATCAGCCTCCACCACAGACCTGCGGGTTCTCACCCGGAAACTCACCTCCATCCCGCCAGCTCAGCTTCCTCACTCTCTCCCTTCGCTCATCCGCCACGTCCTTCGATGTCGCGATGCTCTATCCGCCCCTCAAGACCCCAAAGCCAAGGGCGATGGTTCCCAAACCTCCATGCTTGTCCACAAGCTCAAGACAAGCATCACGACGCTCTTGAACGGCCGAAGCCGCGAGGGCAGGTTCGTTGCGATTGGCCTGGTCAAGGCGGCTGTTGACGTTGGCGGATGGGAGACGCTCCGAGGCTCTGCTGCGTGGGTGTCCGGATTGCTCTCAATCGTTCAGGTATGACAAACTCGTCCATTGTAATGAGATATTTCTAAATTTCTTGTTCCAAAAAACTAATCGACATTATAGAAAGGAGATCCTCCAGCTGCCAAAGAACTGGCTATTGTGACTCTCACTAAAATCTACATGCTCGTTCATCCTTACCAGACTCTTGTCCGAGAGGTTGCAACACCTACGCTCCCGGCTTTTGCAACGGCATGCGTGCAGCTACTTAAGCAAAAGGGTGAAGCACAATTCACACTCGCGCCCATGAACCTGATTGAAACCATCTGCGAATCGTTCTCGACTCTGATTCCCCTCTACCCACCCACTTTCCGCCCCTTCAGCTCTCAAGTCCGCACTGCTGTCGGCCCCTTTATTGCGCCAACTTGCTCGGATGAAATCAGTGTCCCGGAATCTCTGAAACGGGCTGCCAGACGCCTCATGGCCTCTCTTCACTTCGTTGCGGCCAAAGCAGGTGGCAGCGATGAATGGGTGAAGCTCGTTGATGGCATTCTCCAGGAGTTTCACACCACCGCCGACCAGGTTCTCCGAGCCGTTGACGAATCATGGGAGGCAACCAGCGGCCGTACACGATCCAAAGTTGATGTTGATGTGGAGCCACACGGCGAAGGTAACTCTACGGAGCATCTGCCTCGCTGGTCTGGCCTCGCTGCCGGCGCTGATCGGTTGATTGGCCTCTTTGAGTTTCTGGGCGATTTGCTGAGTTATCCCACTAAGACGGCGGTTGCCATTCCCATCAGCGGTCTTGTGGACACCATCTCAAGAGTCTGTCTAATTGCTCGATTGTCAAAATCTCAGTCCTGGGAGCAGGCTGTCGAAACCAATGCCTCCATCGGTAGAGAAGAAAAAGAGGAACTTTGGAGCTTGATGCCCGACATTCACGTAGCGGCAATGAGACTCGCCGTGTCTCTCTTCCAAAGACTACAAAAACACATGCTACCTCTGGTCCCCGAAATCTTGGATCACCTTATCCGTGTCTTCAAGTCTGGCATGAGCATCCCGTCAGTTAGGATAGCAGGATACACAACCTTGAACGCCATACTGCAACTTGCTGGACCAACACTATCCAAACCTGCCGTAGACATGCTGGAGCCCTTTTTCGGAGCATGCTGTCGAGACCTTCAACAAGACGCTGGATTGTTAAAACCCGCCGACAAACCCGCGGCTACCTCTAATACGAACGGTAAAGGCACAAAGAGTAGCACCGGCACAGTCAACACCGACCTCTTCCTCCAGCCCCAAACAGCCGCCGCAGCCATCGAGCCACCAGTCGCCTTGGACCCCGACCACAAAAACATAGCCAACGAGCTGCTCACGGCCTTCCTGTCCCTGCTGCCGCAGTCTCACCTCAAGCCCGTCATGCGCGGCAGCCTCGACAAGACAGCCTTCCTCACCCGCAACCGCGACGGCCTGCTCGCCAGCGTCCTCAACCCGTACCGAGACCACAACGGTAGAATGTACCCCAGCGTCCTGTCCCATTTGGCGCAGCAGTTCCCGCACGACCAAGGCCTGGAGATCCTCCGCAGCAACCTGCGCACTAGCGGCATTTCGGGGGCCGGCGGAAGCGAAATGTTTGCCTCGCTAAGCGAAGTTGCAGAGCTGCAGCAGATTGATGAAGAAGAAGAGGAGGAAGAGGAGCAGCAAGATGAAGAAATGCAAGATCAAGATGACCAGAATAAATCTCCGGAGAAGGAGGCGGCATCATCCACAGCGGATGTCAAGGCTGTTCTGCCTATTCAGAGTACTACTACTACCGCTACTTCGGTTTCCGCGCCCAACCCCTTTGAACCCCGGGCTTCCAACAACACCGAGAGGGCATCATCTCCGCCCAAGAGAAAGCACGAGGGCCCTGATGTTCCCCTTAATCCCAAGAGACAGGAGCTCGAGAACTCAGGGGTTGCTGTGCTCCCTGCTGCTGTACCACACGCAAAGGAGGATGCAGAAGAGTCAGATAGCGATGACGACGCAAGTGTGCATTTGAATATGGAATTAGAAGATGATGACGAGGATGAAGATGAAGAAGAGTAAAAACTGTAAAGCGGAGGACATATCACAAAAGAGCAAGAAATAAAAGGGGGCTAGAGGAAGGTGGCACGAGCCTTGTAATCGGGTATATTTTGGATATGTAATATACGAATGAATCTAATCCATGTTCCCAAACCTATTCGAAGAACCAGTGTAGTCCTTCCAAGAAAATTAAAGAATCTAACGAGGTGAAGTTAGGAATGAAGCAATAAGTTATAACGCCAGGCGCAAACACCACTGGGTAATCATACAAGAAACATGATTACAACCAAGATAATAATAATAAGCCATCCGCAACCCCCTTTCTTTTTTTTTCCAACGCCGCTGTATGTTTCGAGAAAACTCAAGCCGAGAAATCTGCCAAATTAGAATGTAATATGTTTCCCCCAGTTTGAAGTATATTGGGAGAATTGAAGAATCCAATGCCATGCAAGACAACCAAACCAAGTAAGTAGAAATCTCAAAGTCCTGATTCGGAAGAGGAGAATATAGAGGATGTTGTGCTCAGTCGCGCAGCCAAGCTCGGCGCTTCTCTTCCTTTCTAGCCCGCCGCTTTTCTTTGAAGGCCTTTAGCTCGTTCTTGGTTGGCTTCTTGTTTGAGCGTTCGGCCTTTAAGCTGCGGCCACCGTGGGCGTTTGCCGCGGCATCCACGTCGAAATACGCGTTCATCTGACGCTTTGCCTTGGCTTCGTCGGAGTGCCGCTCAGGGCCAGCATCGCCGGACTGGAAGGCCCCAGTGAAGCGATTGAAGGAGGCTGTGGCGCCGTAGATGGCAGCGGGATCGCCAGCGAAGCCAGCAGAAGCACGTTCATCCTCTTCGTCATTCTTGGCATACCATGCGTTCGGATCATAGTCGCCATGAACGGCAGGGTTGTAGCCGCCAGCAACAGGCTTCTCATCCGAAGGCGGCTGCGGCGCTACCCCTTGCGAGGTGGTCGCAGCGCTTGTGTCTGGCACTCGAGGGTTTTCCCACTGAGTCTTGCCTGTGTATCGGTTGTAGAAGAACCACGATTGGCTATTCGCATCCCACTGGCAATCCCATCCGTCATCGTCTGAATTTTGGGGCGCTGGTTCATTCGGCAGGGGCGGGCCATCAGGAACGGCTTCGTTCGGTAGGGGCGGCGCTTCTCCAGCAGCACTAGGAGACGAAGCCTCTCCTGGTGATTTGTCGGCAGGTTTGGCACCGTTCTCTGCTGCTTCAGATTCAGCGTCGTCGGTCACTTCTCCAGCCTCGGCTGCAGTGCCGTCGTCGTCAAGATGCTCATCCTTTACGGTTTCTTGGGCAGAGTCGAGTACTGCCGATGGTGACTCGACCTTCTGCTCCTCCACGGGAGCAGAAGCGGCACTTGGCGACGACATGATGGATGATTAAATGAATAGATAGATAGGTCGTATTTTTGCTTTTATCTTGGTCTTGTTGTATCTAAAGTCATCTGCAACCGTGAGTATACTGAAATTGCCATGATCAACATGATACTTATGCACCTAGAGCTTAGCAGGCGGGGACAAAGAGAGGTTCAATTGCTACAAGTCGCTTATTGTTTGTTCCGCCCCTTTTCCCTTCGCGTTACAAGAACATCAAAGGCACGCGGCGAAAGAGAGTTGTCGCGCTTCTTTCCCGCAAGCAGTATATTGCTTTGTTCGCTTTGATGGGATGTAAGTATGGAGGTCCGAGGATATGCAAGGAGCAAGGCAACAAGTGGGTAATGGGTCTGGGCGAGGCTCGGGGAAATGGATAATCCGCGCACTTGACAGCTGAGCTGCGCTAGAGACCACTGAGCTGCCTAGAATAGCGCCACCGGCCCCTAGAAGCAAGCTGCCATTATGCCGTTGCAATAGCGCAGATCTCAACGGAGTTCGATTCCTCTTCACTCCACTCGACCGCAAATACGAGCCCATGCATCGCGGTAAGCCGTCAAAATGTGACAGCCCAACAGCGATCAGTTCATCGGGATTCCGCAAGTTGAAGAGCCCACATTGCCGATTGCATACAGGTATAGGCCCAGGTACGGCACGCAATAGGCATGGCTCGAGTCATCCTTCGTGCTCCTGTCTTCTTTCTTCTTTTTCCTCGTTCCCGTTTCCTTCATTGTGCTGGTTGTTTTAAAGATGAATATCTTGATGCCTCGTTTCACATGCTACTGAGAAAGGCTTTGAAGCTATATACCCATTGATTGAGCAGCGTTGTCTCCATTATTGTTCTTATTTTCTTTCTTTTCCGTTCTCAGTAGTCTGGACGTTTCCAAGAATCTCAACACCATGCATTGGCCCTCCTACTCTCCCCTGCCACCACTCACAGCACTCGTAATCCTGCCCATCGTCATCCCAAGCCTCGCCGCCGCCAGCCAGAGCCAGAGCAGTAGTCCCCAGCCTCTGCCCAACGGCAATGACTCCCTCTGTGACTGCTTCCTCACCAACGGCACGCAGCCGGGCTACTTCGCCAACCACATGTTCTTCGACTTCCGCAATCTGACCAAGGACGCCGGCATCCCGCCGCTCATCACCAACGAGACGCTCGCCACCATCGCCAAGCCGACGAGCGAGTACTTCGCCAGCAGCGATTGGACCAGCGTGTGGCAGCCCCAGGGATGGAGCAACAGCGAGGGCAAAGGCAAGGGCCTGTCCGGCGCGGCATCCGTGCTGATGGTCTACTCGCCGGGCAACGTCTACATCCAGCGCAACAACGACAGCGACGCCGCGTCGGCCACGTACATGACGCTGCGCACCCAGCGGCTGCCCAAGTTCCAGTCCGCGGCGGCCTTCCAAACCAAGACGTCCGACTACCAGTTTGTGTCGCTGCGTATGCTCGCCCGGACCATTGGCGGGCCGGGTGCCGTCACGGCCTTTTTCACGTATCGCGACCCCAACTCGACGTCTGCGGTGCAAGAGGCCGACATGGAGGTGCTGACTCGCGGTCCGCGGGAGAAGATCCAGTACACCAACCAGCCGTCCTTCACCAACGACGACAAGGTCAACCCCGACGCCACAAAGAACGTCACGCTGCCGGATGACATGATCTGGAGCCAATGGGCCGTCCACCGCCTCGACTGGACCGCCCAGAGCAGCGTCTGGTACGTCGACGGCCAGCAGGTCGCAAACATCAGCTTCCAGGTGCCGGCGGGCGCTTCGGGCATCAACTTCAACGCCTGGAGCGATGGCGGCAGCTGGAGCGGCAACATGACGCTGTATGATCAGGCAAATCTCCAAATCCAGTGGATAGAGATGATATACAACACCTCCTCCGATTCCACGTCCTCAAAGAAGCGGGATGGTTCTAATCAGCTGCTACGGAGCCGAGACGTTGGCCCGCGGGGTGAGCTGCTCCGGCGCAGCACGGATGCCGCTGGGCAGTGCAAAGTGGTGTGCAGCATCGATGAGGTGACGGAGGCGGGAGTTGCTACCATGCTGTGGAATACAAGCAGCACAGCCACGCGCATGGCCGGAACTGACGTTAAGAGCAGCCTGGCATGGGCATGGGCCCTGTGTCTGGGGAGTGTTTTCTGGTCGGTGGTCGTTTGACGAAGGACGGAAGAGCCTTGATATTTTGGGAATGAGAGGGATGTTTGTTTATATGAGATAATGAATGATGACCGTAAAATATGGGGAGCTTATATCTGTAGCTGATCCAAGGGAAGATGATGGATCTTTATGATAAACACGGACACATGCTGCTCGTTGGGTAGTAGCTCTGGCGGGACTTTTCCCGTTTACCCTCCTCATTCTTTTCTCCTCCTTCTTCATCGCTTCGCAAATGGCCATCATTAGAGCGGCATTACGTGCTTTACGCAGTTTGAAGAAGGGTGGCCAAAAAACGCATACGATGCTTCATGACTCATGTTAACGATTTGAAAGCATTATTAGAATTACGCAATTACTTACTTTAATATACTTTGTTAGTAGCTTCTACACGACTACCTATCTATCTTTACTTGGAATAAAAAACGAGCTAAATCTCGATCATCTCAACTTAGAATCGCTCGAGACCCCAATCAGATACATGCAGAATCACGTACTTGCAAATATCACTATTACCTAATAGCATTTATCAGATCTGGCTATTTCCCGATCCTCGTCCTCTATCCTCATACTCCGACAGAGATCCATCTCTTTCGGAATTTACCTGAAAAGGGAAAGAAGGCGTGAAGGCGTAAATGTACAATGAGAATTTATACGGGAAAATGAGCCAAAATAATAATAATAATAATGACGCACCCCCATCCATGCAGGACAAAGGAGAAATAAAATGTCAGCTTACATGCATTATATTCGTTTAAATCATGCTATCAGTCCCAGTGTTCTCCTTGATCATACGAATGTGTCTGTGCCCTTTGGCACTTGTTTTCCCTGTTCCTTCTCTTTGTATGTCTTTTTTTCTCATGTAGTTTAGGCGCCACAAAGCAACACCCGTGATAGCCATAAAAAAGATAACTTTTCTTTACCAAAAATCAGTTTTCGCTTTTTTTTCAATGCCTTGATATTTTCCATCTCCCCCGTATTATAATATTTAGTAACTTCGATCCAATGGTACAATGGGTATATCCACCACGTCGTCTTCCTCGGACTGGGCTAGGCGAAGAAGCCCAGGGACATGGGTCATGCCACCACAGTGATGCTTCGTATATCGTGAGCTAAAGTTGAATCATATAATTTTTTTTTCTTTTTGAAATGAAAATCAAGGCTTGGTGATTCGTAGAATACGTGAGGCATACTCGCAATCCTTTGGTTATCCTGGTATAAAGTTCTAGTCCCAATGGTCCCCATGAACACGGGTATTAAGAACAACCAGGGGGCTGTTAAGCAAACAGAGTCCGAAAAACTCCACGGGGGCATCTCGATACGGTTCTCCATATTCTGTCAGACGCGGGACCGGGGAGTACAAATCTTACCCGGATCGACCAGGTATAGGGAGAGCCACCAAAGCGTCTCGCATCCTAATAGATCCGGAGCGTTTGGAAACGCACATCATACTAATCTTGCCCAGGGGAGGTCCATGCTTGGCCATCCACTTCGGAATACGACCAGCTTCCGCAACGAGCCTAAATCTTGAGATGAGAGGTCCATCTCACGCTCATGTACCTAATACAATCACTCCAAATAGAATAGAAAGTACGGCTATTTCGACTCCGAGGAAGTGTCAAGATTCAGCCCTGGGTGGGAAACGAGTCTCGCCACACCGCCGCTTTATAGGCGATGCCAGACTCAGGGTCATCCGACGGATGTCACATAGGCTGAAAATCACCTCATGTGTGCCTGGTCGAACGGAAAAGGCTGAGCCGGGAAAGCCATGCTAGCGCTGAGACCAAACGGATCTCCCCAGTCTGCGTTTTGGTCCAAAAGTTGAGACATTGAGGGGTACTGAGAGCCAGTTGTCACCTGATGCCCGGGCCCGGTGGAAGCTGGAGAGAGAAGCATCGTTTGCTGCTCGCCGTTAAAACCGCCAGGGTATGGGCCGGGACCGCTTGGAGTCTCAATCTCTGAATCGTCAACCATATCGGCTTCGTATTCTTGTTCTGTAGGTTGTCGAGTTAGTAAACACGCGCAGACGCAATTTGCAGTCGTTTGAAAAATCTTTGGCGTCTCTTACCAAGCTGCTCAATGTGATTTTGGAAGGAAGGTGTCGGATAGAATGATGCGCCGGAGCCCATTGCGGCCCTCGATCCGGCCTGTGCAAGTGGCTGCCTCGACGAAGAGGTGGTGATGGAGATGGGTGTCATCTGCTGACGAGACAGCCCAGAAATCGAACCTCTCATGGACAATGTATCTGAGGCTGCGGGAGAGAATGCCGAGCCTGTCGTATTGGGGGAATTGGCATGAGAAGAGGGTGTTGGTCGATTCTTGGGTGATGGCGCGGTTTTATGAGGCTGCAAAGGTGGTGGAAGAGCTGTGCCGGGTTCGGTCTTGGGAGCAATGCTGGAAGTAGACTTGCGCGCGTGGTGTCGATGCATCATGGTACGTTGAAGAGGAGGCGGCTGGACCAGATTCTGCGGCATGTGAGTGGGCGCCAGGTTGGGACTGCCGGTTTTGGCTTGGAGTTCGGCTTGGACATCGATGCCTTGTAAGTGAAGAGTGTTAGTTGTGAGGTAGGTAATAGAAGGAAGTAGGGTCAGGCAGCGTACCTTTTTCGAGGAGGATACGCTCGAGAAGCGAGTTCTTGTATCGCAGCATCAGGCATTCTTCAGCGGCAGTGCGGTGCGCCGCCTGCAGATTGTGTAAGTTGGACTCATGGACGCGGATGGTTTCCTCGAGTTGTTTGATATACTCAGTGCGGCGCTCTCTGAAGGCAGCTTGCGCCTGTCTGTTGCGCTGTTTGCGCTCTTCAGAAGTGGCATAGATCTGTATAGTCGAGCATGCGTTAACAATGAGCGTAATGAAGGCTATGCCAGTATGTTGCGTGAGGTTGGTGTTGTACAAGAAACGAGTATGGAGTTGAAGCGAGTTACCGCAATGGGTAATTCAAGGCCGCGGCCACCCGTGCGGCTCTCCTGCGGCAAACCGCAATTTGTGTGCAAGCCATTGTAGGGATACGTCTTTGTGGAAGTACTGGTATTGGTATCCTACCAGATAGCATCACACCTAGGTAGCGGGTGGAAACAAAGCTTGCGTGGCAGTTGTTGGTTTGGAGGAAGAGTAGGATGAGGGGTAGTGGTAGCAGTAGTGCAACTATTCTGTACTAAGGTGCATGAAGGCATAGGTATAGCATGATACATACATCCTACCCAGGCATGGATGGATAGGGATGGATAGAGAACGTTTGGGATGGCGTAAAATGTAGATGGAATATAGAAACGGTACTTACAGGCTTGCGGCCACCCTTTCTCTTGGGCTGCTGGCCGTCCTGGGAGACGTTGATGATGTTGCTGCCGCTGCCGGCAGTCATGGACGGGTTCTGCTCCCTCTCCGGGGTGGAACCAGTCGACTCTTCGCTCTCGTCCCGGTCAGGGTTCGGCGGCTTGGTGTCGATGGACATCTTGTCGGCCATGCCTTGTGGTTGGCCCTTGGAGACGACAGCCGCGCTGCGGCAAGCGCCCCGTCGATTCTAACAAGACAAAACAGCGTCCTGTGACGTCGTCTCAGGGGTGGGACGTCGCCCGGAGTCAACAAGCGGCGGCAAGCTATCAGAGGGATGCGACGAAGGGTGGTCGCTGGTTCGCCAAAGACGCTGTTATCAGCAAGATTAGGCGGCGGGCGAATGCAATTGCAGGGTCCTCTGGGCGCAAGACGACGACCAGAGAGATAGGCGTTCGGCAGCGCGTCTGTGGCGCCTATGAGAGGCCGGGAATGCGCCTGGCGGGCGGAAACGTAAGAAAAATATATCAGCAGCGAGATAAGGGACGGGAGCCCGCACTTGCAGAAAGATTATTTGCAGGCTGCCGAGAGGGTCGTCGAAGATACAGAAGCTCGAGAAGCTGGTGGGAAACGGCGCCGGGACTTCTTTTATGTAATGGGAATTGAGAAGAGGGGAGCCAGCAGCTTTTGCGGCGGCAACGTCTGCGCTGGTGCTGGCCCCCCGTCTTTATGGCCATTTATGGAGAGCGTCCGCGGCCGCTCTGGCGCCTGCGACTCACGACTACGACTAGCCACTAACTGTCTGATGGGTGCGCTGAGGCTGGGCCTGGCTCGTCGACGGGGTGCTAGACTTGGGACTTGGGACTTGGAACTTGGAGACTTGGGGACTCTCGGCCTGCTGGTGACTGGCTGGCTTGGATCGGCCGATGGGCTGGTGGAGCGGCGAGCGAGCTCGGCGTTGGCGCTGGGCCAGAGAGGGCAAGGCACTGAGAGGATGCGCGAGGCAAAGCAGGCAAAGCTGGCAGAGAGCGCCGGCACGGGTACCTGTGAGACGTGAGCCGTCCAGCTGCATGCACGGGGGACGCTCTGCTGCATCCTTGGCCGGCCGTGCCACCACGAGCGCGGCGCCCACCGGCGTCTCACGGGAACGAGGACCTGCGGCAGACTTCCAGGGCCGGGCGAGGCAGGCCTGACACGCTGTATGCACCCCAGACCCGAGCGGAAGCAGAGGCAGACTGGCAGCGTCCCCGTCCTGGAGTCCAGCGTCAACCTCGAGCGTCAACCACCCGCCATTCTGGCCGTCTACAGCCTGGCTGGCTGGCCATCGCATCGTCTTTTCGCTGCCCCGTATATCCCCAATACTGTAGAGGCTGCGCCCTCGCATGTGCTAGCATCGGCCAACCATGTGTCCATGCGAGTGGGTGTGCGGTGGATGCCAGGACGCAGCGCCGGTTGGCTTCCGCCTCGATCCAGTCTCGCCAGCCGACGGTCAGGTGGTCGCCCGGCCCAGACTGCTAGGACTGTCTCTGGGCTAGGGGCCCTGGAGACGAGCACAGAGTGGAATGGCCGTCGTGTGCTTATTGCTGCGTCGCCTGGTCGCCAGCGCCTGGTTGGACTGCCGCTGCCCTTCCCCCACCACCCGCGCTCCACCGGGCTGCAACAGACTGGAGGCACGGCTTGGGATTGAAATTTTCATCGCCGCACCTGAGAAGCCAAGTCCAGCCAGCCAGCTCCTCCTTGTGGACCCGCGCCGCCTCTGCTCGTGTATACACAGTACGGCACGCATCAATGGCCGTGCCGCATGCCGCTGGCGACTTGACATTTCTGACTGCTTTACCCGCCTGGAATATCCGCCTCTGCGCATTAGCTGTCACCTTAGTATTAGCGTACCTACCTTAGGCGCTGGAGCCGTACATGCTAAGCCGTCAATTAGCCAGCCATGGTCGCCATTATTCCCTGTGCTGCCAGGGGTAGGGCCAACCGCTGGCTGCGTAGTGCACTCACGACAGCATCACCATTCGCTAGCACGGATGAGCGAATATTGACATTGAAAGCTGCATACAAGGGCATACAAGGGGGAGAAGAAGAGAAGCAGAAAAATTTTCCGTTTAGCATGAAATACATGCCTACTGTACAGCACGTTGTTCAGCAGCAGCCACGTTCTAGGATACCGACAACCGGCGGCTGCTGCCAAGAGCCATCCATCCATCCCATCCCACTCAATGCCGCTGGTTACGGTACCCCAAAGGCGGCTTTGCGGGGCAAGCGATGGTCCGACATGCAGGCATGACAGACTCAGAAACCTACTCAGATACATACATCATACCTAGACCTGCCGTTTACAAGACGACGATAAATCGATGGCATTGCCCTGCTTGAATGACATGCAATGCATGCTCCGGACAGGATGAATGACAGGATGAATGCACGCATGTACATGAGACGGGGCTTACAGCGGCTGCAGCTGGTTTGTCTGCCAGCCTGTTAATAACCCTAGGAACCGCCTCGTATTTAGTGCCAACTTGCAGCCCCCAAACGATGCAGTGTCCTGACCAAACTCCCTAGCTGCAAATCTCGAGGCGCTCTTTGCCCGTTCAGGTGTCTTTGCACGACCTGAGAGGCCTGGAGCTTGATGCAGCCGACATCCTCTACGCTCAGCTACCCAGCACTGGCGTCGTCGACATCCCTGGACAATCTGGGCTCTTCTCCGCCGTTCTGTGCACCGAAAAAGCGACTGACGACAGACTTGGTTTAAGCTTAACCTGTCTCACTGCGCCCTTGGCGAACAATCATTCGCGTGTCGTGTCTCGCCTCTGGCGGATGCAACTGCGGGATAGCAAGCAGGTAGCATTGATCAGCCAGAAGCCCACCTTTCAAATGGAGAGGTTCGCATCCCATTGGACGGCTGAGATGGAGCGTTGCCTTGCTGCAGATCTGATGGACTGGGACTCTCGCTTGTTCTTGTTTGCTTGTTTGCTCAGCGAGCCAACTGCCAGCTCATACCTGGTAGAGGCCACTTAGTCCACATGTCAAGCCACATATGACCTCTTTTTCCTTCTCTCTTCTCCAATAAGCCAACCAATAGTGCATGAGGCGACGATATGCGCGCTGTCTCGGAACGCATTTGCCAGCGGCTGCAGAAATGGACGAGAACGTGCACGAGGATGCAAGCCGTCGTCGTGCCGGAAGTCCGGTCGAGGCGTCTTGCTCTCCTCGCATTGGTCAATTAGTGGCGTCCTATGGGCTCTGGTAGTCTCACCTCACCGAAGAGTGAATTGCTGATCCCTTCTACTAATTTCTTCGACCCCATCGCGGGGATGCTGCTCCACGACATAAACTATGGGGGCAGGAAAAGTGGTGTTCCCCTGGCGCGGAGCCATCTTTCAGCCAGCCCAGTGGAATTCAGGCCGGCAAACCCGCCGTGAGGATTATTCTAGGGGCAGATCACGATGACTGTGCCGGGGGGTTCTTCACGATGGTGATATTTCCCGACTGATGCAAAGCCCGAAGGGACGTAATCAACCATGTGGTGGAGTGCCAAAGGCTTTGTCTAGCTCTTCATCACACTGTCGAAAAGCTTATAGCCCGCGTGATCAGAGCGGCGGGTGAGAACGGAGGGACAGGCATGATGCTCATGCCTGGCTGTGGTAAATCTGGCAAATCTAGTTCTAATTCAAAGCTACTGCACAGAGGAGAAACCAAATGCCGAATTGAATGCCACGCTGAGCCACCGTTGCCTCCTGGCACTGATGCAAGGGGAGGCTGTAGCTGTATCCCCGTCGTTTACGATACATGCTGCGGATAATGCACTCCTCACTTATACGAAGCCCGGAACGCTTTACTGTCATGTCTACCTACCTAGCGGTAAGTACTTCAGCTTCCAACTTTGAGGTAGGCTGAGGAGTCCAACCAGCCGTAGCGCCCTCGGAGATGTGTCAATCAGCCTGCCATTTAACGAGAAACGATCATCTCTCGGCTCTCGGGGCTAGCTAGAGAGGCGTTCGCCGCTAACGCAAGAGATCACACATCCTAATGCGTTTGCCCATTTTTGTTAATTGGGCTTGTTGAATTGTTGAGAACTGCCATTTAGTGTTCGTCCAATTTCCTTGACAGGAGCTGGTTGGAGAAGCCACATACAGCTTCTGTCCGCCGCCCAGCTGAATTGTCGTCGGATGATTCCCGTCGCACAGTAGCCTCCAGCATTTCCGTACAACTGCATACACGGCAAGGCAATCCTGGTCCTCGCATGGGATGGGAAAACGGTCTCGACGGTAATCAAGATATTCCTGCATGCTGACACCCTCCAAAAACACCATGGCCCGTCATCGATGTGCATGGAGCGAAGATCATCTTTTCTCTGACGCTTAGCGGCCTACCAAACGCCACCTCGTAAACCCATTCAACATCCCATCCACGCAATTCGTTCCTTTCCACTTCGCCAATCACTTGGACTTGGACAAACTTGGACATATGTTCTTTTTTTGGCCCTCTGAAGAAGAAAAATAAGCACGGCTGGAGCAAGCCCGTCTGCCTAGCGACGGCGCCGTCATCACCTGGGCAAGCCGCAAAAGTTTCGGGGCGCTTTGAACTTGAACTATGATTTCTGGAAGGATTCTAGCGCAACCACATCATCTTATGCTGCCGCGTGCCGAGAGCGCTCCGTTGTCGCTTCGGAGGGCGGAGGACTCCGCAGTGTCGTGCTTTGGGGGGGCATCGGAATTTGGATCCTTGGACCATGAGGACCTCGTGATTGGGAAGTTGGAGAATCGACTAAAGTCTTAGATTCAGCGCTTAGCGAGGGTTGGCGTCTTGACAGCGGCCGTTCTACATTTAGATGACAACAATGCCGTGATGTTGATGGAGCTCGGTGTAAGATGCGAGTGCATGGTCTATCTAACGCTAATGTGTAAATCGATGATCGTGAAACAGTAGGACCAAACAGCTGAGGATCTAGATTGGCAAAAATAGATCGCGGTTTCGTGAGCTATAATGAGAGACTATTAAGCAAGATCAGCCGCCAAGAGGGCTTCATAGCGCGCCTTAGTGTCTAGCATACTTAGAGGGTATGAAATGGGCATTTAGGATGCGGAGACACAGTTTTATTGTTATGCACTGGTCGGCTTAGAGAGTTTATTGCATGAAGAGAATGAATGTGCCATCTGCGATTCGCTCGCTGCCATTGACTGCATACGTAGACAGGTCGTTTTTAGGGAAGGGGAGCGTACGAGAGGCGGCCGATATTACAAACTACATAGCCCTCGATCTTGGCCCAAAAAAAAAATGGCAGTCAAAAATCGGCAAGATTAACATCTCTACACTACAATACATCGATGTCTTCTGATAAAGCATGTGGTTAATTCGTCAACAGTCAAGAAAGCTTAAGCGTTGCCATGGTCTCCATAGCTTCATCATACCGTGCTAATTAAACGCCAATTTCGCTTAAAGCTACTGTATTACGCACTGTTAGACCCACCGCGAGCCCTTTTTTCGAGCTTGGACCATCAGAAAGTAAACAAACCCCCCTCCGCTAGACAACCACATCGTGCCATTGTTTTGATACTATCACCTTGCCCAGTTGGATTCCATCACCACATTCCTCCTCTGGACAACGAGACATTTCATCAAACAAGCTGCGCTTTTCACAGTACTGCTATCAATACCATCTTACCTTGCAGTTTTTAGTCACAATCAAGCGCTTTCCAGACCATGTCTGCGCTGCCGCCTCGCCGCTCGGCTCGGCTTGCTAAGGTGAGATTTTCCTTACTCCCAACACGCTCTTCAAGACCTGCTGTGGCCTAACAATGACGATGCAGAGCAATACCGGGCCCGAGTTGCTCATCGAGCCGGAGCTCACAAAAGAAATTGGTCGTGCTGAGCCCGCCACCAGCGCAACTCCCAAGAAGAGAATCCCCGTTGCGTCGCCTGCCACGCCTGCGACCTATGCTTTGAAGCCCCCTAGCACCGAGATGCACCCCAGCAAATTCCACGCGACTACCGCAGAGCCCTCATCCGCCCTCAGGCTGGGTTTCACAGATATCACCGCTGCTAGGAAGCGCGACAGCTCTCATGGAGCTGGACTTCAATCTACCCCCACCAAGGTTGGCGGTGTGCCATCTTCCGCATTCACTCTCCGTGTGCCCCATGGGGGTGATTATCTGGGACTAGGGCCCGAAGCCCTGCGCGTCTTGGAGGGCCTCAAAGAGAAGGCTGCCGAGTACAAGGCCGACATCGTTGCTCAACGGGCAAACGAGTCGACATCTGCATCAACCGACGCCAAGAGCCGCACAATTGCTACGCCCAAAGGCAAATCTGGAAGATTTAGCGCGGCCCATATGGCGGAGTTCAAGAAAATGGATTCGATTGAGGGACATGCGTCCGCTTGGAGAGCACAAAATGGAAGGTTCCAGCCTGTTATCACACCAGGCGTGAAACGATCACTGTCCAAGGCCAACCTCGACACTACGCAGACTGGCTTGAAGCGAACACCTTCAAAACTGGAAGCGGGATCACAGTCCTCCGTCACAAGGAAGTTTGCATCAGCAACGAAAAGCGCCAGCCAGCTCCCTTCCAAGAAGTTAGACTTCAAGGCTCGCGCTAGCGAAGAACAAAGCTCTGCCAAGGACGAGCAGCATTCGCTTTCCTCCAAGAGATTCAAGAAGAATGCGGCAGATGATGCTTCGACAACCCGGCCGATGGCACAAGAAAGCATTTCAGTTTCTCGCCCAGCATCTAGCGTCAAGAGGCCCGCTGCATCCAGAATCGCCCGACCCAGTCTTTCTCGCCTGATGAGCCCAACCAAATCATCACTGGCGAATGCGATCAGCCCCAGAAAGTCTGAGATGCCTGTTGCTGCATTGTCACCAAAGCCAACATTCAAGAGCCGATTGGAGGCGCTCAAGGAATCAAGGGGGCTCAAGCAGTCAACTGAATCTAAGGAATCAACTGAATCCAAGGAGTTTAAGGGGCTTCAGGAAGTAGAGAAGCCCAAAGAATTAAAGACGCTTGACGAAATCAAGGCCCTCAAAGAGTCAAAAATAACCGACGACACTGTCCCGAGTCAGCCTGACACGCCTCTGAGGCGATCGGTGATGAAGTCGGTATTTGGAAGCAGCCTATTTACGCCTAGAAGGCAGAGTGCCATTCCACAGCCGGTCGTCACACCACCCCGATTCTCCAATTTGAATGTCCATCGTCTTGCTGCCACTCAACCCGTGAAGAAGGTGGTTAAGCATGTGACGTTTACACCAGAAGTTACACGAACCATTTTCGACCCGGATTCTCTGACGCTTTACAAAACAAGTGCTATTAAGAAGATCTTAACACGTTCCGAAGCGAAGGAAGCCTTGGCAGAACAAGGTTCGGGAAGTATTGCTTATCCCGATTTGTCCGCCTACAAAGATCTCTTGGACGCGGAACCTGAGAGCGCAAAGTCTCCTACTCCTACTCCTTCAGTACCTGGTAAATTCACCTTCCGAAGCGACCACACAATCAAATTTGGACATCCATCACCTATTGGCTTTGGGGCCTCTCCTGGCCAGTCGAGCGTACGCCAAGTGCGTACTTCTATCAAGCCCATATCGGATATGCCTGGCAGCTTTCCCGACCCAGTCTCGCCGAGCTCTCACCCGGATAAAGAGAATGCGGCGCCCTCGTCGCCAAAGGTACTTTTAGGCGTTCCACATGGAATGTCTAACAAGAAACGACATCGTGCCGGCTCGGTCGATGAAGACACTGATAAGGAGGCTGCCGATCGTGCTGGAAAGAAGGCCAAGAGTAGCCATGTTCCGGAGGGCCAAGCTTTGTTAGCTCCTCGTTTGGCTTCAACTCCTTCTGTTAGTGCGAAGAAGCCTACGATGACTCGAAGCGTTGGCAAGACTCCCGTCCGTCCCATTCACCGAGCCGTTCACTCGGTATCGCCCTCCAGGAAACGACCAACATTGAGTATGAGTCGCCTCAACATGCTTGCCCAGCCTAAAAATCGTGGTTAGGTAGCCACATGGGCGCAACGGAGAAGAATGGGAAAGTTGTTTTTTGGTCCTAGCCGTCGACTGCGGAGAGATTCTAACGGGAACGGATCTTAACTCGTCAGGCTGGCTGGAAGGGGGCCTTTTTATCAGGGTGATTATTTTGGTATTTTACCGGTTCGGCGTTGGAAACTACACCCAATCGATGCTTTTGCTATGATGAAGGAAACGTCACAATGCATGATGGAATCCAGAGCTATGGATCCCTTGGTGTTTTAAGTAAGAGTGTTCTTTTTTTTCTACCTCAGGCCTGTATTTGGCTGGACATGGTTGGTTCGAGCACCACATTGCTTTCTTTTTTTTCCCCTTTTTTTATGTTTGGCTCGGCGCTGGAAGGGAAACTGAGAATTATAGGAGGAACATTGGCTTGTTTTTCTGTGTTTGAGATAGGGCGACGCATGGTCGGCTTGTGTACGAGTATTACTGCAGGAATCGCTGCGAATGCCCAATTAACGTTCTTCGTATGCTAGAGAAGGCTACTTCTGAATTCTATCCTTGTGATTGTCAAGCTGCTCCTGCCATATTTGTGAAAGTCTTAACGAATCTCTTTTCTCTTCTTTTCTCTCCCCTAAAGACGACAGCCCTGCCTAATCTCACCATCTAAAACGAAAACAAATAATCTTCAAGCATCGATATAAAATAGGGGTTGCTCAGTAGTCTTATTCTTTATCCACTCATTTGACTCGATAGCTCTTTAATACGATCATCCCCAGGAGTCGAGAAATATTTCACCACGTCACCGACTATGAAGCTCCCAGACGGGACAAACATCTTCACCTGCTCATTCTGCTTCTGCGTCTACATCGGGTCTCCCTGCGTTCTCGGCCGCTCATGCCGTCTGGCGTGCCACGTGTGCTCGACGGCCATTTTCGATCTCTCCATCTGCTGGGTATGCGGCGAGGTAATTTTTCAGGGGGAAGGGGGCGTGAGTTTAGGGTGGTGTTTCTGGCATGGAGACTGTTATGGGTGTTTGTTGTGTGGGAGTCGTGTGATTTACAGGGGGGTGAAGGTGAGGGAGTTGGGTGGTGAGAGGGGGAGGGGGATTGAGGAGGTTGGGGAGGTGCCACTGTGTTGGGATTGTGGGATTGAGATTGAGGTTTGTGAGGGGGAAAATGGGAGTTCAAGGTTGAAACAAGCTGTGAGTTTGGTTGAGGAAGCTGGAGATATATTTGATATGGGCGATGCTGATATGTTACAGGTGCGTTTACCAGGCTGTTCGCGCAATGACCGGGAAAGAAGAGATAAGAATACGAATAAGAGGTCTTCGGGTTCATCCCGATTCAATATTCGGACCAACGCATCTGATCCTATTGATGGAGAGCCAATCCGTGTTAAACAAAAGCCAAAGATACCTCGGCCATGTCATAGAGTATGGCCAAGTCGGTTGCCCATATCCCGTTTCTCAGAACCAGGTTGATCATTTACCATGGTTTTTGCTGCTGTTTCAAACATGAACAGTTACGAGCGTGATAGGAAACTGCTGTTGGAGCTTTTCAAAAGCCTCCTTTCAAACGGGCTACGTCGTTGGAGTTTCTCTTGGGAATGCTCGCAACCCATGTGCTGCTACCTACCTGTTTACCTAGTAATACCCAAGGTAATATATTTACTAGGTAGATATACTATGAATTGATGAATCCCCGAGACCATTGGCTAAATCTTGCTAATCTTGCTATATATGGAGATCTATTGTCCCATTCGTCTCTATTGCTATATCATGAACGCAAACTTACACGCTTAATCAGCGCAGCGGCACCTTTGCTTGGCTACTCTTCCAAAACGGGCCGTAACTGTCTACAGCAGAACGTCATTGGCAGACGCAAACAATTCAAAATGAATGCAACATGTACAGTGCAGCGCATTGAGATTCGTACCACAAATCGGCGATAACGTACTGATGACGTTATCACGGCCGCCAAAGTCACCTGCCAGCTCCAGCGTCGCACCTCAGCTGGATTGAAGCTCCAACAGGCTGCGCGCTAAACTCGAGGCTAGCAGCATTGCAGCCATCCTCGGTACTTTGGTACCTCTGAGCTCCATGTCTTCAATTCTTACGGAGCCCTTTTAGTGAGGTTTCAGCGGGCGGAAGCCCTAGTCTTTCCTCGGCTGCGTCGTAGCTCGGCTTGTATCTCCCCGTAGCTACAGCTCGGCCACAGCAGAGCGCCCCCGGATGCGGGAAAATGGCTCCCATGGCGCAGCTCGAGAAGCTTTGCGGATGCCTCCAAAGCTGGTCGTTTGAAGGGGCCCTGAATGAGCAGAATAGACGTTATCAACTGTATCTGAAATGCCCGTGAATGGGAGACGGGCACAGCTGGAACATATTGTAGACTGAGCACATCAACAGCTTATGAGGCAGCCCCTACGACGCGGTACCTGCTGCACTAACGGCCCAGCGCCCCGGAGCCCTAACAGCGTCACCACAAAACATTTCACGGGAATTAAGCGAGCCCCAGCAAAAACACGCAGAGCTAGCGCCAGCAGTGCTTTTTTTTTCCGGAGTGGGCTCTGGCGCAGCACAGAAGCAGAGAGAGTTTCCGCCGCATTGAGCTGGTAGCGAACCCCCCCAATACCTACTACAGGCCGCATCGTGCATTTTTTTTCTTCAACTGCATCCGCAGCACAGCCGCTCTGGTCTCTCCGAAGAACATCCAGACAGACCGACTCGCGCGCCAGGAGGGCCATGCGATCTTAACCTCTTCCTTTCCTCCACCACCAAGTAGCAACGACTACCAGCGCCGCCAGTATTCAGCCCCTCCGGTAGGCCAAAGCGACCAACATGTCACAAGTCGCCTCCCAGGTACGCAGCCTATGATACCATCCTGCCACAGCCGATGTCATGATGGCGTTGTCGCCGTTGCTGTGTTTTTCTGTTCCTCTTCCTGCCCGTCAATTCGATGCTCGGCCGCCGTCGTGGACCTGCGAGCGGGCTCTAGATCCTTGCTATATACGCAATGCGCCGCTGGCCAAGCAATCCTTCCCGCACGGATAGAGACGTCGTCGTCGCTGTCGCCCTCAACCCATGCCCTACTATTTGCTCTCTTATATGCACTCTATATTCATTCCTATTTTGTGTTGCTGTTACTGACTGCCTCGTCATGTAGAACCGGTTCGCCTATCTCGGTACTTCTTCCCCCTCCTCTTCGCAAACTTTGCTGTGGCTCTCAGCCCCTCCTTCTGTCAACGAAAAGCCCCCGCCGCGATAAAAAATCTTAAATCGCAGCACACTGACCCGAGCTTCACGCTGCAGGCAACGACTCCGACGGCGAGGAGAAGCCCGTCGTCCCCGTCAAGACCGTCGACAAGGCCACCGCTCGCACCACCAAGCGCAATGTCGAGCCTCAGGCCCCCGCGGCCCCTTTGAGGACTGGCGGCAACCGCCGTGGTAACCTCGGCGGCAACGAGGGTGGTAAGTTTGCGCCATCTCCGTCTCTCGTGAAATGACAATGCCGTGGCGGCAGTCTGTCTGAGACACGCATGTTTCACTGATGCTAATTGCTGCTGTGTAGCTTTCCGTGATCGCGCCGCTGGCCGGGAACGCAACCAGGGCCGTTCCACCGAGGAGACCCCTAGAGATGGTCCTCGTGGTGGTCAGGGTGCTCGCGTCCGTGGAGGTGAGCAAATCCCATCGAACGACTCTTTTCTTTAACAGGAGTCTTTGCAGCTTAGAAGAGACATATGCTGACGCTGAGATAGGCCGTGGCGGACGCTTCCCCCGTGACCGTGACGATAGACATCCCCACAAGTCCGGTGCCACTACGTAAGAGCCATGCCTATTCATCCTCTCAGTTTTGTATCTAGTATTGACACAAATATTACAGTGGTTCCGACAAGCAGGCTGCTCAGTCTTGGGGTGCCACCGAAGGCAATGCCGAGCTTAAGGACGAGCAAGCCGGTGAGGCCATTGCCGAGTCTGAGAAGAAGGACGAGGCCGAGAATGTCGCTGCTGAGGAGCCCGCTGAGCCTGAAGACAAGAGCATCTCCTTCGCCGACTACCAAGCCCAGCAGGCTGAGAAGAAGGGTGCCTTTGACTCTGAGATCAGCATCCGTTCTGCCAACGAGGGAAGCAAGATCGACAAGAAGTGGGCTGCTGCCAAGCCCCTCGAGAAGGAGGAGGATGTCTACTTTGCCGGCACCGGCGGCAAGAAGCAGCGTGAGCGTGAGCGCAAGGTGAAGCAGACCGTCGACTTCGATCCCCGCTTCGTTGAGCCTGAGCGAACCCGTGGCGGCGGCCGCGGCGGTCGCGGTGGCCCCCGTGGTGGCCGTGGTGGTGACCGTGGTGGTGACCAGCCTCGAGGCGGCAGGGGCAACTTCCGTGGTGGACGTGGCGGCCAGGCTGCTTCTATCAACACCAAGGACGAGTCTGCCTTCCCTAGCCTGGGCAACTAAACTGCCAGCGACTCATGAAGTCCTCAAAGACCCTCTCCTTGGCTGACGGACCGGGCAAAATTTTACAATGTGCTTCCCATATTAAGAGAACCAAAAGGAGAATCCAATATGTGTGGAGGGCTTTCAAGCCTCTTTTTATGTTTTGATAGTTGACCAAAAAAAAAGAGAAAAAGTTTGATTATGTGGCTGTGGTTGGTCTTGGAACTGACTCGATTTTTACAACTTGGCTGAAAGTATTGCTGCTTTCCCCCGCTTTCCCCCAAGTTCTTTCTGTTTCCAACTCAGCTATATGCAACAACAGGTGGGCTGCGTCTTTTGTCTTTCTTTTTCCTTGTATGTAAGGGTAGAGGGTGAAAATGAGATGAAGAGTGAGAAAATGAAAGGTTGCCAAGTTATTTTTCCTATACCTCTTTGGTTTTTTTTTTTTTTTCTCTTTGGACATTGATGGTACGTACAAAGAGAGAGAAATTGCCTTTTGATACCATTTCTCTTATTCCCCTTTTCTTCTCCGTTAGTGAAGACCGGTTCTCTATATCAAGTCCCTAGAGACATTTGGAAACTCTATCTCTTCTGAAGGGATTGGTTAAGTGAGATTGGGAAATGCTGCTTGCCTGGATACTTTTAAAATGATAACTCTTCTTTTCTTTGCAGTCAATTATACATGGACCAGGGTGCGTCGCCCTTGTGTGAATGGTAAGTTTGTAGAGACCAAGCAAGCAGACATCAACACCTTCACGAAAGGTTGACAAACCAGACCCTTCCGTACTCCCCAAGATTACATGACCAAAACTGAAAGGTCTTAGCTGTTCAAGAACACGTCTAATCCGCTCTGGCTACCGCTTTGGCTACTCAAGCAAGAAATAACACACAAGTCTACTTCTTCAAGTGCAGGTAATATTTTACAGGGGTCAAATGCTTACAGATCTCAAATATGCTACTGCTTAGTCCACCTTGTGGTAGTGATGACAAGATCTGAACGACTTGAAATGCATCAATAATCAAGACAACGACAAGTTCACGGAATTCCATGGTCAAGTACAGACAGCCAAATAGAAGATTGATCGTTTTATTTCGGATACAAGATAACTTCCACCGCCACTCATCAACTAATCCGGTCACCCCTTTCATATTTCCCCTGAAGTTACTAAGAAAAGAAATCGTCGCCGTTATTCACGCATCCAGATACCTGTGACTCCCATATATCCCGCTTGGCTATCATAATTGCCTTCCATCAGTAGCCCAAACCTCAAAGGCGTTGTCCTCCGAGTCTGTGTATGTCTCTTCGCCATTGGCGGCCGCGATAAGGCGCTGAGTGCCCTTTCGATGGATTTTGGCGTCCTGGGCCACAGTGTCAAGCTTCTTGACGACTTGCTCAAGCGTCTGGGTCAGGCTTCCAAGGCTATCGTTCATCTTTCTAATCGCTTTTGAAGGCTCTTGGAGTTCAGTCTGGCAGGCGCAGCTTGTAGGTTGCTTCGAAGCAGCAAGTCCCTTGTCGCGAATCCTGGTGGCCATTTTCGAATAGAAATCCTTCTTGTTCGAGGTCTGGCGTTGGCCAGGTTCATGAATCTTGGTCGAAGAAGAAAGGGAAGAGACACCGTGGCTTAGGGAGTTGAGACGCATTTTGGCGGGCCAACCGTAGCGTTCGGCGACTGCTCCAGGGGTGTGAAATTCTGGTCCAAGGTTCGAACTCTCTTCGGCTGAGCTTGCACCCGTCGCCTCGTCAGCCTCCGAAGAAGTCGTCGGGTCATCCAACAGGGATTTCAGGGGGCCAGGGCCCTTCGAATCCATAGAATCAGACTCCGCAGCAGATGTTTCCGGTGGAGAGACGACAGTTTCCTTGATTTTGGCGTTCTCTCGGCGAGCCAAGATACCATCGGCGTTGGTCTGCGCTTGATTCTCGAAATCCTTAATCAACATTTCTAATGCTAAACCTTACCTGAGGTGAATCCGCTCTGGGTTGCCTTTCTCTGAGTGCTGGAGGCGGTCTTTGTGTGGTGAAAGACGTTGAACAGTTGACAAAAGAACAGATGGTGGAGCCAATCAAACAATGAGTTCCAAGGTGACGCGTTGCCAGCTGGGCGTTGAACAGAGGCGTGCCCCGGAAGCTCAACCAGCAGAGTGACTTTGATAGAACGAAGAAAGCATAGACAGGCAATGGACGGGCGCAGAAGCGAGAAAAGAATAACGTTCTACTCCTTTCGGGAAAGACTGGCAACTTCGCATTTACAAAGAGACTGCAAGCGGAACCAAGCCATTACAATCATTTCCTGACCTAGACCGAGGATAATCGAAGCGGTTCACAGAGCCAAAACGCTCAACGATTAGAAATTCGTCAATAATAACAGATGATGAACTTTTCTAAGACCGGGCGACTATGTGGCTTGGAAGACCCATCGCCTCCTCTCCCCAGCTTGGACGACAAATCGTTTTAGAGGATTGAGACATCTGCCAACAAAGTGCACTAGGGCTATATATAGACAGACTGGATTGATATATGCCATGATTTCCTATTCAACCCTCTTAACCGGTTTTGTCTTTGCCTTTACCTCTCATCCTACATTCAAGCTCATCAAGTTCATCAATTATATATGATTCATGCTTTGAGGACCTTGACAAGTTCCTCGAAAACCTCATCACCAGCCTCCGTGATGCTAGAGTTGCCGCCCATGTTCTTTGTCTGTAGACTCCCATCAATAGCGTTCTTGATGGCCCCTTCAACAGCCTTGGCCTCATTGGGCAGATTGAGAGAGTATCGCAGCATCATGGCCACTGGCACGATAGTTTCAATTGGCTTTACCAATGAATTGTCGCAAATATCAGGGGCAGAGCCTATTTTCTCACCGTTAGCTTTTCTCTACATCTTTACTCTCTTCCAATCTCTCTCTAGTAAGGAAAGGGGGTCTTGGATACACCCCGTGGGTGTGCTCGTAGATCAAATTGCATCTAAATGCACACTGAAGTAAAAATCCATAGAGCAGAGTCAGCTTGATCTTCCTTTAGAGCTTACTTGTTGAGTATATCTCCAACATCAACTAGTTCCTCTCAATCCTCCTCCTCAGTGGAGCATCATCGACGTACTTGCTCACACCAACCACCGCTATTAGGCCCCAAACTCCATGGATGAATAAGCCACTACTTCGTATACGAGTGCAGCCTTCTTACAACTCATCTCCTCTTTCTCACATCCAACTTTGGCTTCTCACATATTCGCGATCCAAAAGCTATCCCCAAACAATATAGCATTAGGGCATCTTCCCCCTATGTACAGCATACTGCAGCTCGTCTACATGATTCTCTAAGAATAGTAGTGTAAGTAGTTGGCAGAGAGCCCTGTTTAATCTTATTCAACATAACGCATTAAAAAAATTTCCTTTGCTTTGCCCAACCTGTGTCTCTGCTTGCTTGTTTTCTTGTTAAAATCAGATATATATGTCCCTTTGGTTGTTTTTTTTCCTTCACACGCCCATACGTTCATATATGCGCACAAACTCTCTCTCTCTCTCTCTACCACACTGCCCCTATCGAAGGGTCCGAAGCGTCTTGCTTTGCAGAGATGATGACGCCGACTGCCCTCCACCGCCTCCTCGGCCAATGTTTTGCTGTGCTCGCCGTGCCGCAACATTGGGCGTGTTAGCACAGTAGCCACATATGTATACACTTGGCATGGTACGTCTGCTAATGTTGACGCATTTACCATGCAGCCACATCTCGCAGGACTCGCTAAAAACGGCTTCGTGTCAGCTAAATTCAGTTTTTACAAGATTGTTAAACATACCACTGAAGCATATAATCATTGTCTTCATCGGGCTCATTTCTGCTGCACACGCATCGAATCCTGTGTCCCTCCATTCTGTAGTTCGAGTCCGCCATGCTGACTGGGGATATGGCACTATTTTTGAAATTTACAGAGCCGCTCGAAGTCAGAATGCGCTGGTGTGGCCGAGTATTCTCCTGTACGGATCGCTTCTGTCGGTTTTCTACCACCTTACGCAGCTCGCTCGCTGCATCTCCTCCCCTCTCGTGATGATCTGTCATAATTGTCTCGGCTTCGCTCTCCCCATCGATTGGCGTCACGAGAGAAGGGGTCGACGCACTCCTGCTCCTGTCACTGATGCTCCGCCGACCTGAATGGAAGATTGAGCCCACTGGCTTGCGTGGGTCGGGCAACGCAAACGATGCATTGAATGAGTTGGCTCGGCTGGGAATGATGATTGGCTCCTCGTCGGTAGAGGACTCGTCATCAGAAGATTCCCAGCTTCTCCGCGTTGATGAGAGCTCTCGGGAGCTTCGACTACGGGTAATGCTCCCAGACTCCTCCACCACCACTGTCGTTTCCGCTCGAGCTCGCCCATGTGCATCTATAGTGAACTTTACTGATGTCCGTGGTCGATGAAGCTGGGGTTGAGAGGCAAACTCGGGAATAGACGCCAAGCTCGACAGCCGTCGCTGGCTCTTGAGGGGTGACATCCTCCCAGACCTGGAGAGCTGCGACCCCGACTTTCCCACATCTGTGTTGATACTCATGCCCCCAGCCTGTGATGACGGCCTTGAGGCGGATGCCAATGTCGGCAATGCGCCCCGGCCCATTGCCTTCTTGCTCCGGGTCTCACTTAGGCTGCGGTTCAATTCTGGGCGGCTCATGGCCTTGACAGGGGAACTTGTATAAGAACGATCTGGCATCTTGCCCCTTTTCGCCTCCTTCATGCTATTAGTCCGGCGAGGCTGGGCCATCACACGAGAGTTGCCGCTAGCTTCCGCAATGGGCATCATGTCCGCGGACGAATTGTTGATGTGGTTGAATTCGGCTGTCATCGAAGACGTCGGGGGCCGGCTGTATAGCAGCCCTGGGTCCACACCTTCCATGGGAGTTGCCAAACCAAACGAGTCTTCCATGGATGTGGGAAACATGGCAGACGCGGCCATGTGAGCCGTAGTCTGCCCCGAGGAGATGGGCGGTTTGGGCGCCAGCATCCTCTCCCTCCGGGCCGGCTGGTTGATGTGTTGGGCATTCGGCTGGACATTCTCTTGGTTTGATGATGGTGGGGGAGGCGGCGGTACAGGGTCTTGGAAGAGCTGGATATCGCTGTTCCAGTCAAAAGAACCGGTGTGGCGGTGCGAGGGCTGAAAGAAGGCGGCGCCTGCTGTGCTGAAATCCAAGTCCATTCCCATGGCGGGGTCCCAGAAGTTGGCCTGGCCCGGGGGGGCAGACATTGGGTACACAAACATGTCTTCGGCGCCGCCCATCATGCCCGTCATGCCCTGGAAGCCGTCGCCAAAGTCTGGGTGACCATAGCTCTGGTCATCTTGCATATTGATCTTGGGAGCGAGCTTCTGGTCGCTCTTGTGAGCCGACGGCGGCGGCGATAGAGGTTGGGCTGCGTCGGATCCTTCAATTGTACCCCGGCGGAGCTTCTTCGGCGACTTGGTATGCGAGGAGGAGGAAAAGGCAGGGCCGAGTTGGGCTTCGGAGTTGACAGCGGCCTTTGTCGATGATATCAAAGCTGCCGGCGAGGAGGGCAGGCGTCGAGACGGGTCGACGGGCGGCGGTGGGAGATTGGGATTCGACGGCGGGATGTTGGCTCGGGTTGCAATCTCGATGGCAAGCCGCTCGACAGCTTGCTCGTCGGCGGACAGCTGTCGCTTGTGGCCTAGAAAGGCCGATGCGAAGGGAGTGGCGGGCACAAAATCTGCGAAGGGGAACTGGGCCCCCCGCAGATTGCCCGGCGTGGCGTTGAAGACGGAATACTCCTCAGCAAAGCGAGGCGTTAGGCCGCTGGTGTCGGCGAAGGATCCCTGGGGAGGTTTCGGCGTCTCGAAAATCGGGCTGGGAAAGGCACCCGAGGTTGGAGTCTGCTTCGGCGTGGGCGGCGGGTGAGCGTTTGGATCTCCAAAGCTGCTGCTGTGCGGAGTCAAGGAGAATTGGTTAGCCACTGTTGGAGGGAGCGGAGGGCAGGCATGCTTCAGAGTGTTTGACAAGGCGGACATGCCTTGATACTAGCTGTTGATCCTCGCTCATATCAGCTCGAATTCCTGTTCGCTACGATAAGCCAGACACAAGCATCCCAGTGCGTGCACCGTCAATTCGGGCCGTGGGGAAGCCCCGAAAAGAATGCTGTGTATATAGTAGTATATATATATAATTGCTTGCAAGGGAGGCTTTTTTTTTTTTTTTTTTTGTTCAATTTCCTTTCCCTCGATGCAATAGTGGTGTGCTTTTTTGTATTTCTCCGTTGAGGGGAGGGCGGTATCAGATCAGATCCAAAGGGTGCAGAAAAGCTGTCGAGTGGGTTGCTTGGTTGCTTGGGCAAAGAGTAGTGTAAAATCGCAGTGGCTCGTTTCTCATTATCCAAAGTGCTCGTGAACGGTCATGACAAGATGCAAAAGAAAGAAAGGAAAACGTCGTATAAATCCGGCACTGGCTCTGCAAATGCAAAGGCGGTCAAAACAAGAGGAAAAGCACAAAAAACTAGTCTTATCAGCCTCCTTCGCTGCTCTCGTCGATAACGATGCCAATACACGGGCGTGAAAAAGGGAGAGGGAGATGTTTGTCTTACCGGAACAGCAAAAGCCAACGCAGAGCAACGGCAGAACGCAAGGCAAAGGAGAGGGACAGGCGAGCAACAAGGGAGGCAAGTCTTGTCCTGCAGCTCCACTGAGCATCAGCCAGCTATCCAAGGGCGGACACGGCGGCTGTGCGGCAGGCAATGGACGATGAAGCAGACAAGAGGACGAGGAAGAAAGAGACAGAGTTGGACTTGTGATGGGACAGCGCAGAGGCGGAGAGGAAGCCCAGCAGGTACAAGTACAGTATGGCGACTGGCAGCGGTGGTGAAGGCTGTACTGCGTGGGTAACTTCTAGGCAGAACGGGCCAATTTCGATCTAGGTAGACGCTGCAAATGGAGCCGTGCAGCGCAGGTGCAGCTGGGTGGGCCGCTGGCAGCAGTGCACGCCGGATTGCAGCGGTCTTTACTACAGCGGTCCTGTCGCCGGGCAGCTGAGCTACAGGGCCTGATCTGGCTGACATAGGGCACGGTCGCCGGGGTCATGGCCACCCATCCTGGGCCATCTCTAGAGAGCTGCTTGTACGAGTACTTGTGCGAGTAATATCTTACTAGTCGTATGTGCTACTTTGCTCCGAACCAGCCCGTGGGAATGACGGCCATTGATGTTTCTCTTCGAGCAAGACACACTGCGTTGGCGCCTTGGTTGCACCCGTAAGATTAACAGAAAAAAGGGGGGAAGTTGGGCTTTTGTTATGGGCGTCCCTTACTTGCATATGCACTCCGTGTGTGTCTACGTGCTGCTATAAAACCTCTCCCAACTGCTGCATGGATTAGATAAGAAGGGCTTTCGGGTGCTCTTCTCCGCATGCCCAATGGAGAAAGTAGCTCAATTCTTTGATCTGATTACCTAGACCAGGAACCATGACTGTGAATCTTTCCTTCTTCCATCTCCGATGACGGTCTTCGTATTTTGCTCATCTAATTTCCCAAGCGCCGTAGTACAGTTTACAACTTCCGTTGGTAACAAATAGCCCGAGTACTGCCACAATTACTAGCACTTCGTTCACAGCGCTACTGACATATAGATGGGCGGTCCAGCAGCCCTCTTTTGCCTAATCTGGGACAAGTCCTTCTCCACCATGGATCCCTCCGGTGGATTAGTGCAGCAGAATGACATGATGGAAAAGAAGCTGCGCAACTCTGTTTAGCTAGATGCTGTGACTATTAACACTGCTATTGATCGTTACCGAAAAGCATCTTGTGAGTACGAATATGTGCCAGCCTGGTGATTATTACTGCTTACAGGTGATACACAATAGGTCCGGAATTATAGTGTAAACAAGGCTACAAAACGCCATTGCCATGGCAGCCTTATCTTTAGATCCGATAACACCGCACATGTATACATAAAATCTAGAACCTGCAACTTCACAAGCACTGTCGAGAGATGCACAGCTTTAAGTGAATTCAACTTTAACTATTTTCTAACAGTTGACAAAAACTATTTCAGAACATTTCAACAGCGCTCCTCTCGATTTCAATGCTCTTTTTCAACCCCGGGCGCTTTCTTGAGCCTCCACGTCAGAAAAGCCACAAAAACGCACCACAACTCACGAGACACAAGCAACAAGGCTTATCTTACCTAATACTACCACAAACTCGGCTTATAACCAATATCCAAGCCAAACTTTTACCGAACAATGTTGATATATATATATCTATACACCATGCACTATCCAACAATTCTTTTACAATGTTTTGATTCTATATTCGAATAGTAATTGCCACCATACAAAAGAGTCCCGGACGAAATCCGATCTCGATCTTCCCCAGACTCGGTCCTCACCAACTAGGCAGCCACGCTATGTCCAGAACTGGCATAAGCCATCCTGTGCACGTCTCTTCCTATGCACAAAACAAACATAACCTGCATTTAAGAAAAGAAGAAGCTGAAAAAAAAAAAAAGATCTTTATTACCCAATACGGAACATCTCAAACTACGTAAAAGTATTAATATGTAGGTACCCAATCGCCTCAACAATGCGGACGAACCAAAACGCAGTAACCAACCAACTCACAAGATCAATGAATCAGAAGACAAAGATCTAAACTCGCGGAAGTTTCCAAGATAGATAGCTCGAGGCTATACACACTGCTAGCAATATAGTTGGCCGCCAGCACTTTAGCGGCCAATCTATCTTGTTTCGACGATGCGCTTTTTCATCTAAGCTCGCATAAATGAGCTTCATGCGCCGTGCCTTGCGGATCCTTTCGAGCCCACCCATATCCGGCCATATCCGTAAGAAGAAAAGGCTCGAAAAAGATACCAAAAGAACAAACATGAATAAGCTGCTTGGTAAAGAAACAAAAGCTTCCAAAAATACATCATCTTTTTTTTCCAAGGTGCCAAAAAAAAAGCAGGAGAAAATGGTCCGACATGTCCATCTCGTGAAACGCCCCAAGCGGAAAACCTTGCCGCCCTTGTAACGTTTTATCTCCATGTCCCGGCTTCTGGGGAAAAGCAAGAAAAAGCATCCATACATCGTGTGATCTCATGGCGAACAAATCAAGAACCCTTGTTTCAAACTGCTGTTTTGTACCTGCATTGTTTCAGCGCTAAAAATAAATAAAAAATAGAAGAGATCGTGAGCATTTTTTTAGTTTCTACTTTCTCCTGGCGTCTTTTTATCTCAACGAGTAATGCTCCATAGCACTTAGATAGTAGTAGTATGTACGGAGTACCTCACCTGGAACTCACAAGCCCCCCCCCCCCCATCGGTCCGTCGAAGCCGCGCGCGATACGTGTGATGAGCCCATTCTATACATGCCATGCCAGACCATGCCATAACTGTTTGATATCAACACAAGTGTGTTATTTTCCCGTTGGTTGGGCAGCGACAAGACAAAGAAAATAAATCCCCACTCCCACAAACCACCCCCCTTACCCAAAAAGACAGCTGAGCACCCCCTCTCAACATCACATCTCTATTTTTCTTGTTTTTTTCCTGCTGAATATGATTGTAAAATTCATGCAACATGCTGGATAGCAAGAAATCAAGACAAAGGATCCCTACTATCTTCTAGGATAAACGCCCGTATTGACACTGGCGCCTGCGGGAATATCAGGTACCTAACCGGTTCACGTCCCATGGCTACGTGGAGGCGCACAAGAGGTACCGTCCAGTTACATGCATTACATGCACCCCCTGGCTTCAGCTCCTACACCGAACAAGGGTAGGTTCTGCCGCAAACGTTCGTAGTAAGCCACAGCAATATATTACGATGTAAGTCATCCATACCTAAATTCAACCAAACGTCTATATACTACCAACTCTTGCATTTTCTTTTCTTTCCTTTCTTGTTTACAACGAGATTTTTGATGGAAAAAAAAGCAGAGCTGCTCAAAAGGACCATCCGCCCCGAGATTAGCTTCGCCCACCCACCGTTGCAGTTTACCAATCCTGCCTCAGCCGCATAAATCAGCATAATATTAGATTACCTTTTTGGAGAGGGGAAACACACCAGGCTTGCCAGGGTCTCCCGTCTAGGTGGTGTGGAACCACCTTATGGGCCTCTTTCGCCTTTTTGGCCCGTATTATCCAGAGTCCAGAACCGTACCGTATTTGCTGGTACGGGTACAATCACAACAAAAAACAACCAAATGGCGCGTGCGAAAAAAGGTAAAAGCAAAAAGAGAAAAAATCCAATAGTACTATGTAAAGAAAAAATATACATCTTCCGTATACAAGATAAAAAAACAACAAATTCAAAAAAAAAAAAAAAAAAAGAAGCCTCTATTTATCCCGTGGTATATCCCCCCTTACTCTCAGCTGGCCCGCAGCGCCGAATATCCCAGTCTGGTTCCTCCCGTTTGTTCCCATCTCGTGAGATCATATCCAATGATTAATCCTGAAAAGTATATAACCCTTTGTACTCGTTTGTTTCCATCTATGTCTATCTATATTGTATAAAAGCGTGAGAAGGCGTAAAAATAATAATAATGAGGTATCAATGATTGGTGGTATCCCGTGATCGTAGTTCTTTGTTCTGTAAGGCGTGAATAAACGGTATATGAGGGAGAGACTGGGAAGGGAAAATTCTAATAAGGAATAATTGAAGCGAAGAATGGTAAAAAGAGAAAAAGAAGAAAAAGAGGAAAAGAACAGAGAAAAGTTAGGAAATTGTCTAGGAGAGGAGTGTAGAGAGTGACATAATCAAAAAAAAAAAAAAACAAGAGGTTTGGGGGACCGAAAACAGCCCCCGCCACAAAAAGGTATTCGCGAGCTTGTCGTGTCGCGTAAATCTAAATTTCATGCGTCTCTATAGGCATTAGACTTCCAGAACGTGACGCATGAATATCGAATCCAAATTAAGGAAATTTCGAACAGCAAGTGACTTTGGTAAACGAGTGTAGTTCCAGTGGGCAAAAAAGAGCAAGCGAGAGTATGTGTTTGAAAGACGTTGAGAAAAAGAAAATTAAG